TCCCACCAACAATGAAGTAAGGTTCCCTTCTGTCCACATCCCCTCCAGCATCTGTTGTTGTTAGAGTTCTTGATTTTTGCCATTCTAACTGGAGTAAACACATTTTTCTCACCATGAAACTTGCTAACAAATTAGTACCGAATCTTAAACACTGAAAAATGCAGCATTCTTATAGCCAGTTGTTTTTCTTTTCCTTCTTAATAGGCAGTTCTACAGCCTTGGGTTCATTTTCTGTTGCCAAATAATAAATTACCACAAACTTGATAGTTTAAGACAATATTCACTTAAGGCACACAGTCTGTAAGTTGTAGATCCAGAGAGTTGTTTATCATATCATAGGCCAAAATTAGGATGCCATGAGGGAAGCTTTACTTCCATATTTACTCAGAGTGTTTGCATAATTAAGTTCTTTGTGATTGTAGAACTGAAATTCCCATTTTGTTGTCATCTATCAGCTAGGACCTCTCAGCTTGACACATCCATTGAGCTCCTTCCTCATTTCCCTTCATACTTTACATTTCTCTGGTTTCCTCTTGTACCACCAGAACAGTAAAGTCATGAATTGCTTCAGGATCATGTAGATGGTTTCCTTTTTCTAAGCTGATTGCTAACCTTGATTACATGTGCAAAAGTCCTTTTACCATAGACATGGTAAATATATATAACCACCCCACAGGTGTAATTCTTTTTCAAACTCATAGTCTCAGGGCAGGAATTCCTGAAAGTCATTTTAGGGTTGGTTCTACATACCAAAAGTGTCATCTAAGTTTTTACTTGTCATTTTTGTAGGTAGTATATGAACTTGTTATTCCTTTTAAGGAAGAACTTTTCTCTGAGCAAGATTTTTTAAAGTGGATATTAAATCAATTTTTACTTTCAAAGGATACATTAAGCTTTAATGTGTAGGTTTCCAAATAAGTAAAAAAATAATTATTAAGCCAAGTACCAGTGGCTCACACTTGTAATCTTAGCTACTCTGGAGGCTGAGATTTGAGGATCAAGGTTTGAAGCCAGCTGGGGCAGTAAAGTTGGTGAGACTTTTATCTCTAATTAATCACCAAAAAGTTGGAAGTAAAACAGTGGCGCAAGCCATAAAGTCCTAGTCATGAGCAATAAAGTTCAAGGACGGTGCCCTCTGAGTTCAAGCCCCAAGACCGGCATACACGGGCACGCACGCATGCGCGCACAAACACACACATACGAAAGAATTAACAAAACAGGAACTCTCATAGGGAAGTAAATGAATTAAACTAACTTCATCGCCCCATGGTTAAGGACTGTGATAAAGAGAAACTTCTTTTTAAGTATATGTAATGTTAGCTACTATATTTATTTTTTATCATTCTTAAGTTTTTACATTTGTCCTTGCTCAGGTTCTTTTTCATTGTATCTTTTTTTTTTTTGGTTGGTCGTGGGGCTTGAACTCTGGGCCTAGCTACTCACTGTCCCTCAGCTCATTAGCTCAAGGCGAGCACTCTACCACTTGAGCCACAGTGCCACTTTTGGTTTTCTGGTGGCTAATTGGAGATAAGAGTTTCACAGACTTTCCTGCCTAGGCTGGCTTTGAACCACGATCCTCAAATTTCAGCCTCCTGAGTAGCTAGGATTATAAGCATAAGCCACCAGCACCCAGCTTTCATCGTATCTTTTTGTGAGGTAGCAACTTAACTAAAACATGATGACAGAATTTTGGTTCTCTTTTCCTTTACATTTATTTTATAAATATACATATAATCCCAGCTACTCAGGTAGATCTGGAGGATGGCTCAAAGCTAGCCCAGGCAGAAAGCTTTACTAACTTCCATCTTCACAATGTTTAGCTTAAAGTGTGTCTCAAATAGTTGAGCACCAGCTTAGCAAGTATGAGGCCCTGAGTTCAAATTTGAGTACCACCAAAAAACTAGTATTTTGTAAGAGTATCAGAATCAGCATATTGCTTTGGGTAATAAAAAAATATCAGTTGTTTTGTAGAACTTAGGGAAAACATCACCTTTCTAAATATGCTTAAAATACTTTCCTTTTAGTTATTTTTCTTGTTACCTAAAAGATATTTTTTCAGCTATTGTACATGTGCCAGTCATCTCACATATAAGAACTCTAATGTTGAAAGAAATCTGCGCACACAAAAAATGAAGAGCTGAGCCCCAAGAGGTTTGCCCCAGTTGTGCAGTTTTTCACAATAGTCAAGGTGAAAGTCTAGTGTTCTATCAGCCTGCCTGTGATATGTATAATATTATGCTGCAGAAAATGGTATACATTACAACTGTATAGAGAGATATACCATCAGGTATCAATGGAACCCCCTAGCTTTCAGTTATTACAGTGTGCAACCATGTTGGGCAAGCAAAAATGGAAACAATGCAAAACTAGCTCAGGACCCAACTATACATTTTTTTCCCTTTTTAACTTACTTTGCTAATTCAAATGATGGTGTTTCTAAACACAACAGCCTTCATCTGGATTAATGGCCAGGGTTTTCACTGCTTTTGTAATACAGAGACTAAAACAAGAGTTGCAAGTACCTTGCTGGGCTGGATAAACATTGTAAATGAGGGGTACTCTAGAGAGCATGTGGCTCATCAAAAGGGATCAGCCCCACTTGGCTTCAGTTAGTAACTGCCTTGTGAGAATATAGGCCTTTGTGTAGCTCTTGAGTTTTCAAGAAGATTCAGGGATAAGAAGTTTCTGTATCTCATAATTTTTACACATTGAAAATTGATTCAGTTTTTAAAAGACAGTGTGAACCAAACAACATAAACTAAAGACCACCCATTTGACTTATATGGACTAGGTTCTCTTAGGGACCTATTTTATAGAAGGATTTTTTGCAGAGTAATATTTCTGAATGTATTTTAACAAGTAAATGTATATGTAATCAAAAAGTTAATCTGGTTACTGCTGCTAGTAGGTAGACTTAAGCAGTGAAAATAATTAAACCTACCAAAATCTACATCTAGCTTTTAGTCTATAAAGAAGATAACCTTGCTTTTGTTTTTCCAACCTTATGCTATCCATCTTTCCCTATAGTAAGACACTGAGTTCAGAAGCTTAAGAAGTGGAGAAAGAAGAGAGAGAGAATGAGATACCTGATTTCCCTTCCACTTTGGTTTTACGCCACCTATGAGTCTTTGAGGGAAAATGATCAGTGTTACTCAGTCCAAGAGAGCAAAACTTTTCTGTATATTCATTTTAATTCTATCTCTATAGTCCTTAGAAATCCCCAGACAGATATTATTTAATAATAAAACATTACCTATAACTCATGAACTTCTTGACTATTAACTGTTATAATTTCTACATTAAAGAGCCAGTGGGAAATACAGAAAAGTATGATTTGTATTTGAAAAATGTTATATCATTATATTTTAATGCATACAATTCTCTTGCTAAAGTTTTGACTTTAATACCACCTGAAATCAAGACAGAAATAATAAGAGATGTAGAAAATACAGTCGTGTAACATTTTTTTTCTCTATATATAGTTTTTTGTGTTTTGTGTTTACATATTTATTCACAGTTAACTAGTAATTAAATGTTATCCAATTGTAATTAGAGTTATATAATGTTAAGCTGCAACTTAAGCCTATTCCTCTTTCATAGCTAGATTGCATATTGACCATAAAATGGTCAATATTTGTTTTGCATTAAAGAATACAAATTCTTGAGCAGGAAAGATGACTCAGTGGTAGAGTGCTTGCCTTGCATGCATGAGGCCCTGGGTTCAATTCCTCAGGACCACATAAACAGAAAAAGCCCAAAGTGGCGCCATGGCTCAAGTGGTAGAGTGCTAGCCTTGAGCTAAAAGCAGTTCTGGGACAGCGCTAAGGCCCTGAGTTCAAGCCCCAGGATTGACAAAACAATAAAAAAAAGTTCTTAATAGTTATAGTCAATAGACATATATAGTTAAAATTGTACTGTTTTAATTGTGGAAATGAGATACCTTACACACATGGTAAAGAAAGGAGGTAATTTATGTTTTTTTTTATTTAGAACGTTTTGATTAAATTTACAAACTAAAATTAAGAAAAACTTTATTTCAGTCCATGGCTGAAATTTAAATGTTTCATTCTACTTATATTCATATCATTCAAATAACACTCATGAATTGAAGGTCACTTGTGGATATTTTTATTTTTAATTAGCTACAGGTGCCCAGACATATATTCTGTTTTAGTTTAAACTCTTATCAATGCATGTTATTGTACAGATAATAAATAGACTGAAATAATTCTTATCTATTTATATGGAATATTATGCACTATAGCTGGGTGCTGGTGGCTCATGCCTGTAGTCCTAGCTACTCAGGAGGCAAAGATCTGAGGATCACAGTTCAAAGCCAGCCCAGGCAGAAAAGTCTGTGAGATTCGTATTTCCAATTAACCACCAGAAACCCAGAAGTGGTGCTCAGGTGGTAGAGTGCTTGCATTGACCTGAAGAGCTCAGGGACAGCACCCAGGCCCAGAGTTCAAGCCCCACAACCATCCAAAAAAAAAATGCACTATAGATGTTATATAAGTAAAGCACATTGCAGAGCAGAATGTAATGTCATTTTTATAGAATACAAAAATCTGTTTGGATTTGGGAATACTAATAAGAGCCCGAGTAAGTTACAATTAGATATACTAGATTAACTGGCTGACCTAAGAAGCAAAAAGGTTTGAGGATATTACTTTTTTCACACATCTTTGTACTGTATTGTTAAAGTGCAACAAGCACTTACTACTTCTACAATGTGTAACATGTAAGAAAATAGAAATTAAAAAGTTTTGCTGCCAGTGTAGAAATAAGAAACTTGCTAATTTAACAAATAAATATATATTAAGTACTAGGCAATTTGGATTTATCTTTGAACAACAGAGACTTTACTCAGGCTTTGGGTGACATTTGCAACAGAGTGAAAACAAGCATTTTCATTTCAAATCCAAACTTGAGAATTTCTCTTGTGATTACTTATATGACCAGTAGGTTATTTAGAAGTGTGTTAATTCCAAACTATTTGGAGATTTACACATGTAAATCTATCATTGAATTCTGGCTCAGTTATAAATTTCACCTCGTTCTTACAACTTCTAAGTATTTTATATTTAGATATGAACCCACATGCAGTCTTAATCAGTGTGACATTTTTAGCTGAATTCTTTTTATTCTCCTGTGTAGTAACCTTGACCTCCTCTCATTCTCTACAATGGGTGAGCTAGTGCTAACTTTCTATCTTGGAAGTGTTTTGTTTTCCTTAGATTTTTGGCTAGTTGATTATTTGTATGATAAGTTTAAGAAAGTTTCATTATCTTATTTTTTGCTTTTTGTCGCCAGTAATGCATGAGAAATATTTCTTCTCACTTCATCCTAAGATGAAAAAGTCTAAATGCTGTATTCTATATGCTTTAATTTATCATTTAGGTAGCATTTTAAGAGTTCTAGCCACAGAGAAAGATAAGAGAGGTTTATGGCTTGACAAACTTAAATGCATTTTAAGGCTTCGTTGCAGGCAGAATTGAAGTTTCTCTACTGTTATAAAACAACCCTTCTGTATTGTGCAGTAGGACTGTTTATTTTACTGACTGTAGTATTCTTAATCTGCATAAGATAATAGAAGTAAGTGCCTTATACGTACTTCCCTCGCCTTCTTTCGTAACTTGAGTTATAGGAACATTTTATACGCGTGTAGATAAATGGCAGAGGTGGAAGAGTTGAGGCCTGAATTTATTCTCAGAAAAATATAAGCTGCTGCTTAGTACATCTACATGGAAGGTCCAGCTCCTGCCCAGGTTCTCCCGGATTGTCTGATCATGGAACTGTCTATAATTAGAAGCTGTGTTCCAGCCCAGTGCTACTAAGTAAACAAGTCCACAGGAACTGTCTGTTGTACAGGGCTTTAGGCTGATAATGGGCAGAAATACTATAAACATCGAATATGACAATAATATTTTATCATTTGCATAATAGTATTCCACTACACAATAGTTTTGTTAACTTAAGGCTTAAGTCTTTAAAAGAAATAACCTAGTTTCTAAGGTATTTGTTTTAGAGAACTTTACTGTAGACAGTGGTGATTTTGTTGTTGTTGTTGTCATTACCAATGTAACTGTATTGCTTTTCTTTTTCAGAAAATTCTTCCAGGAGGAAATACATCATTTGATGTAGTTTTTCTTGCAAGAGTAGTAGGAAATGTAGAAAATACTTTATTTATTAACACATCTAATCATGGGGTATTTACTTACCAGGTAAGAACCAGATTTAGAACTTCTATTTATTTTACACTTTTATGACAGCCTTTCAAGAACTTACTTCAGAAACTTTGGGGATAATAGAAAATGTTAAAAGAGTTTAGACTTAGAATATTTTTATGTTTACTATAAATCTACTTATTCAGTTCACACTAATGAACAAATGATCTTAAAATATGTTTTGCATTGTTTTTTGAGGTGCTGGAATGAAACCTAGAGTCTCATGTCTATTAAGCAAATGTTCTACCACTGAGTTGTACCTCTAGGTCTAGATGACATCCAGTTAGCATATACTTGTTAAGAAAACAAAAAGACTATTACAGGAGTAGAGGTATATGAGTTATTCCTCAACAGACCCTAGTAGTTACAGTGAATCTAGACTGTGTGAGGGTCATGCTTAGTTTGTTCTCATGAGCCTTAATGGCCACCTGTTTTGTCTTTACCATGTCCAGATAGATAGATAGATAGATAGATAGATAGATAGATAGATAAGATAGATAGATTAGATAGATAGATTAGATAGATAGATAGATAGAATCCTTCTCTAAGTCTTCCTTGGGGGTATATCTCAGGTCTATTTGCTTTTTTTTCTCTTCACTCCTACTGCCCTCTTCCTAAGCCACAGTCACCTCTTACTGGATTGTACTGTGACAACTGTCATCAGCAATCTCTTTTAATCTTTTAGTTGATACCTAGTCTGTCCCAATACTAGAATGTAAGTTTTGGGAAACTAGGCGCCTTATTTATATTGTTTATTAAATTACATGCTTCTTATATGCTTTGCCTAGCACATCATAGACACTTAATAAACTTGTCATTTGAATAACTGGCTCACTCTGTTTAGTCACTCTGTTTAGTCAGCCTTGAGCTTTCCACTGTGGGCATGACCCAGAGTTGGGCTTGATGTTTCAGCATTATCTGAGCCATGAATCCTTGTTTTCATAATTGGCATAAGGAAATCTTTTAACTCTGATTTTTTTCTTTCTGTATGTTCCATCATTTCATGAGGGACTGCTATCATTTCAAGTTGCAATATATTGTAGCAATAATTCCAAATGCTCATATATAAAACAAATCAAATATGTAGCCCAATCTAGTTCATAGGTGATATTTGGTAACTTTTTGCATCAAAATTAGATTTGCTAGTTTTACTAGATCAGGCAGTCTCACAAAATGCAACTAACATGGCACTTGTTTCTTATTTTAAACAGGTATTTGGTGTTGGGGTTCCAAATCCTTATCGATTGAGGCCATTCCTTGGAGCCAGAGTCCCTGTGAATAGCAGTTTCTCACCCATAATAAACATACACAACCCTCACAGTGAGCCTTTACAGGTGAGTTTATGAAGCAGGTTAATCCATTAATGCCTAACATAAAATCTCAATTTGTTATAAAACTTTAAAATAATGAGGTCTTATAGATGTAAGAGGTTAATACTTTCAGTGCAACTTATTGGCCATAAAGGAAATGCAAATCAAAAACAATCTGAGATTCCATTTCATGCCAGTTAGATTGGCCAATATTGTGAATTCAAACAACAAATGTTGGCAAGGATGTGGGGAGAAAGGAACCCTATTGCATGTTGGTGGGAATGGAATTCGTACAGACATTCTGGACAGCAGTCTGGAGTTTCATCAAAAAAAAACTAAACATGGCTCTTTTCTACAATAACAGTCCTGGACATCTACCCAGAACACCACAAGCCAGTATACCAGAAAGACACATGCACATCCATGTGCTTTGCTGTACTATTCACAAGTTATAGAAACAGCCCAGAGGCGGCCCCACTGTAGATGAGTGAATCCAAAAAAATGTACCTATAAGCAATGGAATTTTACACAGCCATTAAATAGAATAATAATATGTCATTTGCAGGGAAATGGATGGACCTAGAGTAAATCATGTTAAGTGAGGTAAGCCAAGCCCAGAGATACAAACGACTCATTTTCTCCCACATGCAGAAGCTATATTTAAAATATACTAGAAATGATAAATTAGGAAGGACTGTAGGTATTCATACACAGTGAGACCAAAGGAGGATACTCTTAGGAGAGGAACACGTAGGCACAATGTTTATGTGTATTTATCAAAACAAACTCCAGGAAATGGAAGTGAGGGTTTTGAGGTTTTTTGCTATTGTCATTTTCTTTTCTTTTTGTTCTATTTGTTCTTTATCTGTCTTCTGGAGGGTAAGTGGGCAGTACAGAAATGGAAGGACAAAGAGTGAACAAATGCAGCAGTGGTACTCATTGTACACTATGTTGAAAATGAACTATACAATTTGTGAGTGGAGATAGGAGGGAAAATCTGGGAGAGAGAGAGAGTAGGAAGGGATGATGTCCAAAAAGGAATGTATTCTTTACCTGACTTATGTAGCAAAAAAGCCAATTGAGAGCTTGAAGCTCTGAGTTTAAGCCCCAGTACAGGCACAAAAAGAAAAGAAAAGGAAGGAAGGAAGAAAGGAAGAGAGGGAGGGAAGGAGGAAGGAAAGAAGGGAGGGAGGGAGGGAGGGAGGGAAAGAAAAGAAAAGGAAATGAACCCTAAGATATGTATTCAAATGTTTTTTTTCTTTCATGCAATTGTTTCTAACACATTTATAAGATGATTTCTTTGTTGCTTTGTATGTCCCTTCCCCACGGTATAACCCCTGCTTTCACTGTATTTGATGTCGGTATAATTTGTGGAGGGGAAGGGAAAAACAAATCGTTTAAATAGGGATACAGGTGGACCCATTGCAACAATGAGATGTACAAGTCGTTATGTCGAAAACGAACTTTACAACTTTGGTGGAGGGGGGATGGGAAGGGGAAACAAAGGAGGAGACTACAATGCTTGATAAGAAATGTACTCATTATCTCTTGCCCGTGTAATTGTAACCCCTCTGTACAGTATTTTCACAAAAAAAAAAAAATAGGAAATGAGGAGGGAGGAAGATAGGGAGATTTTCCAAGTATGAATAGTAAAATGCTTAGAAATTTAAACTAAAGTAGCAAGAAGAACAATCTTTCTCTGAGACTTGACTGATGTTGAAGGAGGATAGCTTCTAAGGAAAGCTGGACTCTGGTCCAGTTTTAACTTAATTTGATACCTTCATCACAAGAGAGGACAATGCTTTTGTGTCCTGTTTTTCCAGTGAAAACATTTTTCTCTTGCCTATATCTTCATCATCATTTATGTCCTTTTGCTACTACTACATCATTGTGAATTTTCCCTGTTCTGGTTAACTGTTTCATAGACCTATACTTAAGAAATTCTTTCGGCTTTTTTTTTCCTTGACTGCTGTTAATGAAAAAATAACAAAAGTCCTCTCATTCTGCCAGACCTTGGTATATAAGTTGCCTCAGACTGCTGTACTAGGGAAGCTACAGAATATTTAAGGAAGCTTACTCCTTCATCATGGGAGGATGGAGCTTATGAGACTTGGCTCATGCTTAACAATCGATAGTTGTTTAAATGTGTGTGTGAGTGAGAAAGACAGACAGACAGACAGAGTTTTGTAGTATTTAATTCAAGATTTACCATGGTACCCATTTCACAGGAGAGCAAAGGGGAAACCAAGGTTGCATTCGAAGGAACAATATAGATAGTTTATCTGGGAATCTACTCTATACCTGGTAGTTCTATAATACCTTAAAATTTGTCATTTGTCCTCAAATTTAAGAAAATGCATCTAATGTATTCTTTATATAAAACAAACATGATTATTCCTGATAATTCAACATTGAATAGTTCATACATGGGTGAAGCAGAAAGAAGTTCCCTCACCTTTCTATTTTACAGTTCAGTGCTATCCAATGTAATCCAATGATGTTCATCACTTCCTATGATGATAAGAAAATTCTACATCTATTCTGCCCAGTATAGTAATCATCAGCTGTTTATGTCCATTATGCACTTGAATTGGTACCTCTGATGGACAAAGCATTAAACACTTAATGTCTTTTTTAATTTAAATGACTGCAAGTAGTTGATAGCTATTGTGTAGACTATATGTCTACAATTCCAAGCCCTTTCTCCTGGTTACCATTCATATCTTCTGTGTCTTTTTAGGCTGTCTGTCTTTTGGGACTATTCTGTCATTTGTAGGCATATATGTGGGCACACAAGTAAACATTTTTTTGGTGGGGTCTTTTTATGTGAATTGTATTTTGTATGAGTTTGGCTTTTCCTTTTACCTAGATTATGCTAAATTAGGACAAATAGTATTAGTCTAAATATTGAGAATGTGACAACGGTTCCTCATGGTAATGTCATCTTTCATTTTGATTTCATAATTTAGTTTTTGTCTCCGTACTGATTTTCCTCATCATCAAAGTAATTTTCTGTTTCCAAACATTGTGCTTGTTTTCTTAAAAAAGATCCAGTGACACATATATGCTGTGTTACATTGTTATGTTGCTGGGTTTTTTCTTATTTCTTTATTTCAGAAAAAAAAATCTTCCTTTCCCCTATCAATTATTGTGATTTTACAATAAGCATTCTCTAAGAATGTTATGATAAACCTAGTTCTCAGACAAATCTTAGCTCAGAATTATTTGCAAAATGCTCTACTTTGTTTCAGCAACACATGCATACAGAAAAACAGAACAAAAGTCCTTTAAGCTTATACTAAAGCTTTGTAGTTTTTCTTGCTTTTGTCCTTATCTATTCACTTGTAGAGGACTTTTTGTGTTAAAAATCTCTACACCCCAAGTTAAAGTAAGTTAATGAAAGCATTCTTTTCAAAAGTTAAAGTTACCTGATCTTAAAGGAAAGTTTCATATGATCCATTCTGTTCCCTAGTATTTACTGAAAATGCCTATCTGTAGTGAAGTCCTTAGGAACTTTATCTCTAGTGCCAAACACTGGAAAAAACCTAAATGTCCATCATATGTATATGTTTTTAAAAAAAATTGTTGTAAGGCTGGATACTGATTGCTCACATTAATTATTGTATATCAGTAATAACCTCAATAGAGTTGTCTTAAAACAAAGCAAAAAAAAAAAAAAAAAACACCAGCCAGGCACCAATAGCTCACATCTATAATCCTAGCTGCTCAGGAGGCTGAGAGTTGAGAAGCAAAGTTCAAAGCCAGTCCATACAGAAAAATCCATGAGACTCTTATCTCCAATAAACTACCAAAAAAGCCAGATGTCGAGCTGTGGCTCAAGTGATAGAGCACTAGTCTTGAGCAAAAGAGCTCAGAGTCAGCACCCCAAGCCCTGAGTTTAACTACCACAACTGACCAAAACAAACAAACAACAACAAAAAAAACCCACAGTGTATTCTGGGGGTATGACTCAGTGGTAGGGTGCCTGCCTAGCATGCAAAAGGACCAGAGTTCCAGTTACCACAAAATTTTTTTAAAATTCTAAAAAGCTGTAAGCCATACAGCCATGAATATTATGATTTTGTTCCTCGTAGAAATAAAATATTTCAACATTCTATTTTTGTTTTGACATGTAGTAATTGTACAGATTTATAGGCATAGTATGACATTTCAGTACATGCTTGCATTGTACAGTGAAAGATGAGATTAATTGTCTTCTGTGTTACCTCAGGCATGTTATCATTTATCTGTTATAGAAAAATTCACAGTCCTCTGCTAGCTCCTTTGAAATATCCAACTGATAGCTGTTTGCTGTTATAGCACCATAGGGTGCTATAGAGTATGAAAAATAATTCCTTTTCCTATCCACTTGCCCTTTATCCATTAACAATCCCTCTCTCAGTCTCTTAGAAAGTGAATATTTTAACACTTTTTTTAGAATTGTTTTATATTTAGAATTGTTTTATAAACACACACACACATACCATTTTTTTGGCAGTATTAGGGTTTTAACTCAGAACCTCCCTGAGTTAGGCAGGAGTTCCACCACTTGCCACTCCCCCAGTCCCGAAATATTTATCTCTTCACTATTTCGTGGTTATTGTATTTGGGGATCCACAACTAGAAATTGTGGTATATGTGTGAATAAAGAAATACTTGGGAAACTGAAATATATAGAATTTATATTTTTAAAACTTTATTACAAGATAATAGAGTTAGACCAGAGGAAGACAGTCTTAGGAAAGAATCACATAGGTGCAATACTATGTTCGGCTGACCATATAAAATAATATTTATTGAAACAAACTCCAGGAAATAGAAACAAGAGGTTTGTTTGGTTTTTTTTTCTTCATTGCTCTTTTTGTTTTCATTTCCTTTTGTCTTGTTTCTTCATTTACCTGTTTTGGGGAGGATAGGGGGCACAGAAATGGTAGGACAAAGGATGAACAAATGCAGCAGTGATACTCACTAGAACCTAGGTTGAAAATGAACTGTACAATTTGTGGTTGGGGATGGAAGGGCAAAACTGGAAGAGCGTGGGGAAAGGAGTGACATTGTTTAAAAAGAAATGAACTCTGTCTGACTTACGTAACTGTAACCCCTCTGTATATCACCTTACATTAACAATTAATAAATTTTTAAAACTTAATAATAACATAATAAATTGTTGTATTTAGAAAAAAAGAAAATTAAGCTGGGTGCCAGTGGCTCACACCTGTAATCCTAGCTACTTAGGAGGCTGAGATGTGAGGATCAGAATTCAAAGACAGCCCAGGCAGGAAAGTCCATGGGACTCTCATCTCCAGCAGAAAACCAGAAGTTGTGCTGTGGCTCCAGTGATAGAGCTCTCTCCTTGAGCTGAAGAGCTCGGGGACCTTGCCCAGGCCCAGTTCAAGCCCCATGACTGACAAAAAAGTAAAGAAAAGAAAAAAGAAATTTAAATGTCCTGTAATGTTTCCTGTAATCTAGTCCCTAAAGCAAATGTATTCCTTCTAGGTTTAATTTCTAGAGTTATTTTAGTTAAAAATGATACCTTTTTGTGGGCGCTGGTGGCTCATGCCTGTAATCCTAGCTACTCAGGAGACTGAGACCTAAGAACAGTTCAAAGCTAGCAAAGTCTATTAGACTCATCTCCAATTAACCAATAGAAAACAGAAAGTGACACTGTAGCTCAAAGTGTAGAGCACTATCCTTGAGCTCAGGAACAGCACCCAGGCCCTGAATTCAATCTCAATGACCAACTAAAAGCAAACAAAAAAAAACACCTTATGCTCAAAAGTGATATGACATGATACTTATCCCACATTTATAACTTTAAGGGTATTTTATTGTGCATCAGTAAGGATACCAGACTCACCTCTCTTAACAGCAAGTCACATTCATTAAAAAGAAGATTTTGAATATGACTATCATGTGCTCTTGATCCTAGGTTGTAGAAATGTACTCCAGTGGAGGAGACCTTCACCTCGAGCTCCCAACAGGTCAGCAAGGAGGTACCAGAAAACTGTGGGTGAGTGGAAACAGATTTCTGTTGTCTGTGCTAAGAAGAGCCAAACATTTTTCTTAAGTACCCCAGAAACTACTTAACTTATTATCATCTGAAAAACTGTGGATAATTTCTCCTTAATTAATATCTTAGTGCTAAATGTATATCAAATATATTTGAAAATTGGGTAAAAAAGTAAGAGGAAGATACAAGTTGTAAATAGGAACAAACAGAATTGGCAAGAGCTTTAGCCTGCTGTAGGTTAAAGAAGTCATTTCAACTATTTTCTTAGAAAAGTTGTTTCTGAATCTGATCGCTGCCATGTGATTTACACTGTGTGAAAGCTTATATTTTGAAGGTAGAGAAGTGTACATAGGCGGGGGAAGGGGAATCCTCAGTTTATGAGCACTGTCCCTGAGCTTTGTTTACTCAAGGCTAGCACTCTACCACTTGAGCCTCCACTTTTACCTTTTTGGTGGTTAGTTGGAGCTAAGGGTCAGGGACTTTCTTTCCCCCTGGCTAGCTGCAAACCACAATCCTCAGATATCAGCCTCCTGAGTAGTTGGGTTTATAGGCAAGAGCCACCAATTCCAGGAAAAGGTAGAGAATTTTAATATTCAGACTCACTGTTGTTAGTAGCATTTGCTAGTAACCTACTTGTTTTAAATTCTTAAGTAATCTGCATTTACCTTCAATATTAGTGAATATTTAACAATTTGTATGAATGCTTAAGATAACTATCTTAGAAAATATATCAGATATATAACCAAGTTAAAGAATATACAAGAACCTTATAAAAGAGGATTTAAAATTTTTTAACTGCTATACTTTAATCCAAGCGGTAAATGCAGTTTTTATACAAATGCCACTCAAATCACTGCTCTTCTGTAGTTGAAGACACACTGACTTTGATCCTTAGAGCTTACCCATTATGATTATCAATTGCTCTGTTACACACAGCCTCTTGATTCTGTCTTCTGACAAGTCTCAACCAAGGGAACAGTGTGGAGGTGATGTTTTTGAGATGTTTACTTGAACATTTAGAGACAAAGATGTCTGTCAGAGATTCGGTTAGTTCCTGAACAGAAATGCACTAGTAAGAAGTATGTAATGGAGAGCCCATTTATAACATTTCGCAAAAATACTTACCTTGAAATCAATTGTTTATAAACCCTTTTAGTAAAAAAAAATATAAAAAAAAGTTTAAATACAATTTATTACATTTTTATCATAATTACAGGCAGAAACACTAAGAATTTACTTTGTGAAATAATTAACATCTAATAAACACAAGACAATTCAGATTTATAAGTAGTTAAAAACTAATGAACTGTAACAGAGATTAGCATAGTCCTATAATACTTCCAGGGCTACCAAAAAAAAAAATCTAGTAATCCTTATTTCTATAAGCCTAGAATAAGAAAGAAAATGAGCAAATCCCAGAGAGCAAGTCAGCTTCTAAGAGTTTGTAGAGTCCCTAGAGACCATATCTGTAGGTCCCCCTGGAGGGATCCAATCATTTATATTCTACTTTGGGTCTAAAACATTAGGGAAGTAAAGGTAAATGATGACCAGTAAGTTCTAGAATACAAATATGTCTTAAAAATATGCTAAAAGACATGCAGAGAAAAATTCCAGTGGTTCATAGCAAGCCAGATTATTTAAAAAAAAAAAAGAATTATGTATCCCCCAAACTTTTTCAGTGTGTCTTCCTTCTAGTGAATGTTTTCTATGTGAATGTTTTCACTACAGGACTAAAAACATGTGCTGATTTTTGTGCCAAAAAAATTACTAATTTTCTTAGGAAATTTTCTTTCTTCTCCATATGTGAAACATATGTGTTTAATTAGGAATTGCTATTTCTTAGTATAAAATGATAAAGAACTTTCAGTCCATGTTATCTCATTCAGCAAACAAGGTAATTTTGCAACATTATTAACAAAACATGGTTTGTTCACTTGGCAGGAAATCCCTCCTTATGAAACTAAAGGAGTGATGAGAGCCAGTTTTTCCTCCAGAGAAGCAGATAATCATACAGCCTTCATCAGAATAAAGACCAATGCATCAGACAGCACAGAATTCATCATTCTTCCTGTTGAGGTTGAAGTCACAACAGGTTAGTGGAAAAACTGAAGAAATTTCAAGTTTGTTTTGTTTTCAGTGCATTTTATTCTGGCAAAGTAAAAGATAATTGTTGGCTTTTCTTTTTTTTAAGCTCCTGGAATTTATTCCTCAACCGAAATGTTAGATTTTGGTACACTACGAACACAAGGTAAAGAAAACAAACTGCTTTATAGGTCTTTAATATTATATCTATTTTCCTGCATGGGACTCAGTGCTCCTGGCTGTACTGTATTCTGTATTCCGCTTTGGAAGTTATTTCTCAGTGAATTCTGTGATCTGGGATCACAGAATGGCTTTTTATTCCATATTATAAACACACACACACATACATACCTATACATATATATACACATTTATGTTCTCCATATTATTTATGTATGTGTGTATTATATGTGTATGCATGTATGGATACATGTGTGTATGTATATATTATATATACAGATATTATTTATGTGTGTGTATACACACAACTTGTACAAACCTTCACCTGTTTTCAAATGGGTTTCATTGCTTCACAGATGGGAAAATGAGGTCAGGTGATAACTTGAATCTCCTAAGTGGAGATTGAAGCAGAAAGTAGTATCCTAGTGTATTGCATTCCTCACCCATTGGTTATATTGAACATTTGTTTAAATATGAATTATTATTCTGTGTTATTTTGGTCATTGTTTTAAGAGGGAGCAATTCTTCTAGTACACTATTTCCTTATGGACAAAATGATTTCTTCCTAATGTTTCTTTTATTAATGTGATTGTTATTATATTTTATATTCTAGAGAAGCTTCAGTTTGCTATCTAATGAAAACAATTCTAACTTGCCATAAATCACAGCTTTTTAAGAAATATTCCTTTTCCTTCATTTTAACAGACCTACCAAAAGTTTTAAATCTTCATTTATTAAATTCAGGAACAAAAGATGTACCAATAACAGTAAGTTTTTATTTATTCTTTCTCTCTTTCTTTCTAAAATGAAAAGGAAAAAAAATCTCAGAACAGAATTAGAAATAATTAAGCCCTTGCTCTAAAGGGCTTAATGATAGCCTAGAGACTCTTAAGTCTAAGTATGATGTGAGAAACCTAGTCTACCTCCCACTGCCTGAAGTGTAAGAATGAGAGGAAAGTGTATGAACATCTCTAAGCCAGGTTTTAACCAACGCTCTTAAGGATATCGAAAAAGAATTACATAAGAGGCCTAAAGATTATAATAAATCAAAGTTCTGCTTTCACAATGGGATGGTTGGGCAACAGGTTATAAGGATTCCATAAAGTTATTAGACTTAAGGTATGGGTTTTGCTGAGGTGGCTCAAGTCTGTAATCCTCACTACTTAGGAGGCTGAGATTTGAATGTTAGCCAGCCCTGGCAGGAAACTCTGTAAGACTCTTATCCAATTAACCACCAAAACTCCAGAAGTGGAGCTGTAGTTCAAGTTGTAGAGCACCAGCCTTGAGCAAAAAAACTCAGACAGTATCCAGGCCTTGAGTCCAAGCCCCAGGACTAGCATCAAAAAACAGACTTAATGTATGGATTAGTAAAAATAGGTAAATGAATTGGCAGCAAATAATAATAATAAGGCAAAGAAATATGATAGGTAATGGTAGCGTTCTGTTGTAGACATAATTTCTAACTGGCAGGTATATTATAAACTAGTCTTCTCTCTTCCTTCATACACAGAGCACATGATATCTGTACCTAATAATGAAGTGGGGCTTATACTATTAGGTGGTTTCAGCCAACAGATAAAAGGCATCTGAAATTTACTTTGGCCCATAGCCTCTGTCCCTGATAAGTGCCCCAAGACACATTCATAGGGAATAATGGAAAAGAAAATCAGAACATTGTTGTTACAACTTGTACTGCTGCTTGAATCTAAAGTCAGAAGACTAAAAAATTATCCATCATGTGGGCTTGAGCACTTTTGTCCATCTATAGCCTAACCCATATTTTACTGTCAGCCTGGAAGAGTAGAGAGCAGAGAGAGGAGAGTATATAAACTGCAGGGGCTGAAACAAGAGACAATCATTCAGTTGGCCTATTGTAATACACAGTGACCTTCCTTGAGGATAGGATGTGGTTCAAGCCAGGTCTTGAGAGATGTTATATACCATTTCTTCCCTCTAGCCAAGTTTTCTAATGTGGTATAGGGATTTGATGGAAAATTGTCAAGCAAACTGGTCCTTCAGTACAGTATATGGACTGAAGGAAATTTCTTTTCCAGTAAACATTTTATAGAAAAATGAAACTGACAGTTAAGAGTGTGAATGGAAAAAAAAATGAGCTGGGAATGTGGTTTAGTGGAAGAGTGCTTGCATAGCATGTATGAAGCCCTGGGTTCATTTCCTAAGTACCACATAAACAGAAAAGTCCAGAAGTGATACTGTGGCTCAAGTGGTAGAGCACTGGCCTTGAGCAAAAGAAGCTCAGGGACAGCCCCAGGGCTGACAAAAAAAGACACACACACACACACACACACACACACACACACACGCACACACACACACACCACCCCCCCATCTTCATTTTTTTTCAATTGCAGTTTTAAGATAAACTATAAGTGAATCTTCTTGCCCTTGTCATAGGTCAAGCACTAATGCTAGTTTCATTATATGCATCGCCTTGTTATATACAACTCTGGGAGGCGCATAGATCCTAGCTCTCTATATGGCAACGCTGAGTCTGCTTTGTTTGCATTGGTCCTAGCTTTCTAAATACAGAAGCTTAAAAAAGTGACATACTCAACTATAAAAAAATTTTTTAAAACTCCAAAGTTATAAGACAATATATTTAAAAGTTAAAGATTAAGTCTTGAGAGGTAGAATGTATGTGTGTGGTTCTGGGTTCAGTCCTCAGCAAAAGGTATAAAGAAGGGAAAGGAACAAGAGAGAGGAAATATATTGGTACTTAGCAATCAAGTCTTGAAGAACATATCATTTTTATAGCCAATATTTCTATTAAAATATAGAGCTGTAAGTCTATATATTTACATTTGTCCTTACATATGTATGTATTTTATTTAACACCCAAAGCCTATAAATTCTCCTTCAGGGGATTTAGTCTCTTTCTAAATACTATTGTCTTTCTCAATATAGGATTACTGATAGATGAGTACCTAACCTGGTAACAGACAGGTACCCACCTTCAAGCTATTCTGAAGTTGTCTATGACAGAGCTGTAGGGGAATGGTTATTCTAACATTTATAGAACATTAATATTGTATTTGTACAGAATTACTTTGCCTGAGATATCTTAAAAAGAGTCTGTATAAAGTTTCCTTGCTAATAGATGAATAGGAATCAAAAAATTTACTTATTTTCTGGCAATTTCATCTTCATAACTGCTTTAATTTATGCACAAAATACAATTGTTATACACTAAAAGGATATTTTCCATGTTTGTTTTGTAAGTAGTTTTAATTTTTTTTTTTTGGATTCTTGACTCCCAATTGAGAGTCTCTGGGTGTTAGTTGAGTCTGAATATCCTGAGAAAAGGCTGAAACTGTATTTAGAACATAGTTGCAAGCTGCCTTTCCTGAGAATCTTGCCATAATTTTCCACTTGTTTTGTCTTGTTTTGATCCTTTCTTCTTCATTGTACTGGGACTTAAGTTCACCCTCTCTTCCAGCTTTTTCACTTATGGCTGGCACTTATCACTTGAGCTATACCTCTACTTCTGGCTTTTTGCTGGGTTTTTTTTGGAGGATAAGAATCTTGAGAACTTGTGTGCCTAGGCTGGTTCCAAAACATGATTCTCAGATCTCAGCCTCCTGACTATCTAGGATTACAAGCATGAGCCACCAGCACCCAGCTCTTGATTTTCTTTTTGAGACAGGGTCTCACTGTTTTGCCCAGACTGGTCTGGAACTTGTGATCTTCCTGTCTCAGCTTTCCAAGTGCTAGGATTGCAGGCTAGTGTGTTCTGCTGTGGCTAGCTCCAGTTCTTTATTATCTTTGAGTAAGCCAGATATTAAGCCAGCAGAATTAACCACTATTTAGATATTTTGTTTTGCTTTGTTTTTGTTTCTTTAGAAAATGTGTGTTAACTGATTTAAGTTTATCTCTATTGATACTGAATAAGTAATTCAGACCACTTATATAAACCATGCATTATCAATTAAGTATTTGTTTGCTTCTAATGCAATATATTTTAAGATACTAACATTCAATGTAAAATTTTCCTCTGGTATGGAAAATCTTGAAGTAGTATATTTCATATAAGAAAAAGATCTTTTTCACCATCTATTCTAAGTTCTTTCTATTTGAGCAAAAACATTTCTTAGTTATTTTTTTGCATGGGTTTATACAGGCTGATAACATTCAAAAAGTGCTATGGTAGTTACTGATAAACTGCCATTTCAATACCTCAGCATGGTCAGGGTGCCATTGTTGCTGCCTTATATTCAGTACAACAAGGAAGGAATCAGGGACAGTATTTGTGAAAGTTTTTGGCTAACTTCAGATCTTTATAATAACTCTGATAAATCATGATCTCAAGATAAAAGTGACTAATATTTTTAAATGCTTTGAGCTGTGGCTCAAAGTAGTAGAGCACTAGCCTTAGGAAAAGAGCTTAAGGACAGTACCCAGGCCTGAGTTCAGGCCCCAACAACAACCTCCCCTACTACCCCCCCCCAAAAAAAAGGTTAACATTTAGCTGGGCGCTGGTGTCTCATGCCTGTAATCCTAGCTACTCAGGCAGGATGCTAAAATCTGAGGCTTGTGGTTCGAAGCCAGCTCAGGTAGGAAATGACTATGAGACTCTTACCCAAAAAACTGCTCACAAAAAGCCAAAAATGGCTCTGTAGCTTAAGTGGTAGAGCACTAGCCTTGAGTACAAAGAGTCTTAAGGACAGTGCCCAGACCCTGAGTTCAAGGCCCAGGACAAGCAAAAAACATCATCATTATCATCATCATCTTCAGTGAATCACAAAATTTTGTAAATAGGATCATAAAAAATCTACCCTAGTCCCCTAGCATATTTTTTACAGGTGCAAGAAATGAACCTGAGTGTGGACAGCTTACTCCTGCTTATACTTCTGTTAGTTCTGGCTTTTCATACGTATTCTACACTGTTTTTCTTCTCTTTGAAAAAAGTATTAGTTTGTTATAGTAGAATAATAAAAGCAAATTAGACATTCTTACCTTTGTAGTTTATTTTTACAATTCAAACCGATTTTTAGTTGTCAATAATAAACACACATACCCCTCAGAATGGAAAAAATATTTAAGTGGTTGCTAATAACAGCAAACATTGATAAGTGAAGATAGTGCTGTGAGCAAATCATTCAACTCCCAGCCTGTCTGAAATTCAATAGCTTATAAGAGGACATTCTCAAAGAAGAAAAACAAAGGCAGACGAAAGAGTGAAAATGCTGCGTCCAAGGCCAGCAACTTAGACTAACAGTTCTAACACAGGCATTAGCAAGGACTGTCTTTTACTCATTGCAGGCTTGTAAAGACTTGCTAGTGACTTAAGACTAACCCCAAAGCAAGGCTGAGGGAGTTGCCTTGACAGCACTTACAGTCACTGTAACAGTTAACCTCCTTTCACTGCAATGACAGACATAAGGCAAAAGGGACTGATCTTTTCTTCACATTCTTCTCAGATGCTTATTGTGCCTTTAGGAGTCTGCCCTTTAATACTTAGTTGGGCAGATTTCTCTGTTGCACAAAGGATGGGTAGGAAGCCAGGATAACTTGCTGGACCTGACTGCTGTCCCTGTTTTAATCAGCATGCCTGATAAATTTCACAGAAAAGAACAGTGTGCTTTTCTACAAAGAATAATAGACTGACATCAAGTTTGTAAGGACCTTCTAAAATTTGACACATGCCTTAGAGTGTTGAGACCAAGGTTAAGACTCAAAGTAAATTATAAAGGAAGATTTTTTAACAAGATTCATATGCAGTACCACAATTTCATATTTGTGCAGTGGGACATCAAACAAAAGGACCCTGGATAAAGTCAGGAAATGTGGTTTCCAGTTCCACTCCTTGGAACACCATTCTCTATAGTGTAAGTTCCCTTCATTTGTACAATAGGGAAAGAGATTAACATCTTTGAAGTCCTTCCAATTGAATTACTTTGTTGTTAATGAGAATAAAAATTAACTTTTTTTTTTTTTGGCAGTTGTGGGACTCGAACTATGGGCCTGAGCACTGTCCCTCAGCTCTTCAGCTCAAGGCATTTGCTCTACCACTTGAGCCACAGTGCCACTTCAGGTTTTCTAGTGGTTTATTGGAGATAAGAGTCTCATGGATTTTTCTGCCCAGGCTAGCTTTGAACCGTGAGCCTCAGATCTCAGCCTCCTGAGTAGCTAGGATTATAAGTGTAAGCCACCAGCACCCAGCTTTTTTTTTTTTTTTTGCCAATTGTAGGGCCTGAACTCTGGGCCTGGGCACTGTCCCTCAGCTCTTCAGCTCAAGGCTTGCTCTCTACCACTTGAGCCACAGTGCCACTTCCGGCTTTTTCTGCTTATGTGTTGCTGAGGAATTGAACCCAGGGCCTCATGCATGCAAGGCAGGCACTCTACCACTGAGCTACCTTCCCAGTCCCTAACTATTTTTTAAATATTTGTTTTTCATTTTTGTGGGCTGGGGTTCAAATTCAGGTTTCACACATGCTAGGCAAACTCTCTACCACTGAGTTACATTCCCAACCCTAGAATATATTATTCCTTTATGTATGCTATAAAAATAAAGACCTTTTGTGGGATTTTTTTTCTGTGATTTGAAGTTCCATTGTTTGAATGGAGTAAAGCAATCAAACCTCTTTCAAGTTAAACATCTCTATAATGTACCTCACTGCTCAGTTCCCTAACTAGTAATGTAGCCCTACTCCTGAACAGCAGCATATCTTACCCACACAGTCAGGCCCTAGAGATGAAGAGACTATGCTATGAGGAACAAATTTTGCAAAATAGCCCTGTCCACACTGGGACACTCCTAGATTAATGTCATCCTTTACCTTTAGACAGTCTGGTATTATATTTGTGCTATGAATTTCTTCAAGAGGGACCACTTCTTAATTTATCCTCATGTCACCTTCCATGTTATATGAATTACACATTCATTTGGGAAATAAATACCTTCTAAAAAATATTTTAAAGCCAAATTGGTGTCTGGGACATGTAATCCTAGCTGTTTGGGAGGCAGAAATCAGGCCAGTTCAGCTCAGGCAAACAAACAAAAAAATGAGGTTGCCATGCTCCATCTTAACCAATGCTAGGTGCACACACATCATCCCAGAAATGTGAGGAAGCAAAATCGGAAGTTTAAAATCTAGGCAGAGCATAAAGCAAGACTCTATCTCAAATATAACCAACTCAAAAAGAGGATGACACAGTAGCTCAAGTGATTGAGTGCCTGCCTAGTAAGCATGAGATCCTGAGCTCAAACCCTAGTGCCAACAAAACTTGAACCCAGTTGTATGTTTATCTTTAGGTTCTTCTATTCTCTCATCTGTCATACTTTTTCTCCCTGTACCCATCATTTTATTTCATAAAAATATAAAGAAATGACTTTGAAGTTTTACCCAATTCACATATTTCACTCAAAGCTATTATAAAAGTTAATTTTTGTTATTCTTTTCTAGTATACTTTATAGTATAGACAAATGCCTAATCAATTACACCAAATTAATGCTATTTTTTTCTTTGTAGAGTGTTCGACCTACACCACAAAATGATGCTATAACGGTACATTTTAAACCAATTACATTAAAAGCTTCTGAAAGTAAATACACCAAGGTTGCAAGCATTAGTTTTGATGGTAAGTATTTGCTTTTTTGTGTGTGTGCCAGTCCTGGAACTTGAACTCAGGCTTGGGCATAGTCCCTGAGCTTTTTTGCTCAAGGCTAGTGCTCTACCACTTGAGCCACAGCTCTACTTGGAGCTCTTCTGGTGGTTAATTTGAAAATAAGAGTCCCATGGACTTCCTTCCCAGGCTGATTTTGAACCACAGTTTTCAGATATCAGCCTTCTGATTATAGCCATGAGCTACCAGCGCCTGCCTGTATTTACCTTTATTTTTCTTTAATACACTGATGTTATTTTGATAAGCTAAAAAACAGCTATGTTAACATATTAATAGATAAATTCAGACTCTTTAAGTCAGATTTTACATTAATGTTTTTCCCCCATAAACCATCATAAACTCTTACTTGATTGACTCATGAAAGAAAAGACTAACTTCATAAAGCTAAAGCACTGTTAGAAGTTGGGAAAAAAGTATTAGTAATAGATCAACATTAACAAATACATTAGAGTTGGGGTATTTTTTGTAATCTGGTTAGGCCAGTTTACAAAATTATATATGTGTATGTGTATTGGCTATATATAAATTTGCAATATGTTCTAATTTGCCTTAACTATGAAGTATTAATTTTTGTAATTAAGAACTATTGTATTTAAATTTCAGAAGCATATTTATGTTTGCTGGCAAAAGTATCTGTAGCATTGTAATTTTTTTTATATAGACTGACTTTTATATGGAAGACAGAAATTCCTTCTTAGCTATTATTTCAAATATGTATATTCTGTCATTTGAAATGTTAGCCCAGATTTTGTGTGTGTGTATATATATGCCTATCCTGGCAGCACTCAACATGGGCTCTGTCTCTGAGCTTTTTTGCTCTAAGCTAGCACTTTACCTCTCCAACTATATCTGCACTTCCAGCTTCTTTGGGTAGTTAATTGGAGATAACAGTTTCACAGACTTTCTTACCTGGCTGTCTTTGAACCACAATCCCAAGTAGCTGGATTACAGATGTGAGCCTGTAATCCTGTAATCTGGAGTCCAGCTAATCCAAATTTTAACAGCCAGTTTTTATTCAGTTTTGCCTAGTTTCATGGAAACTTACTGAATTTGCTGTCACAGAATTTTTAAATAGTGACTTAGCAGCTGCTTAATTGTGTATAAATTATATTAAATGAGAACTAAAAGTCTGAATAGGGCCTGTCTCATAGGGACCCATGCAAGTGAGAAGCTGTGAAGTTGAAACTTCAGCTTTTCATAAAGCCATGTCTGCTCAGAACCCACATTTTGCAGCTCAGTCCCTGTGGTATAATGAGAATAATAGAACCCCTGTGGTGTTACTCCTCATCCCTGGAGAGTTCCAGAGGGGATCTGGATCAGTGACACTGATCATTGCTGTGCTAGCGTTAGGACCAGCAAGAACTCCCAAGGAATCAAAATTAGATAGACAGTGCACTTTAATAATGCAGATGTCAAGAGTTCGTGTTATAGGGGGTATTGAAGCTATAGTTACTTCCAAATCTGTGGTAAATAGACTCTATGCTGCTAAAGGACCACATTTGTGAAAATAATTGTCAGCATCAGCAGGGACATACAGAAGAGAAAGTGACTAAAAGTAATTCCTGAACCTGAGAACACTTAGGGTGACTCACCTTTTGAATTTTAAACCCAAGGAACAGGGTACTATTCATTGGCCACACTTGTACAGTATAACTCTCCCATTCTTTAGAGTGCCAGGCTCTTCCCCTTTAGTTCCTTATTGGCACTGCAGCAAATATCTTCATTGAGATAAATATGGAATCATTAATGTGGGGGGTTTTTTGGATCTGAATTTAAAGTAAATCCTCCTCCCTTCCCCTCCCTTCCTCACACTAAATCTGATCTCACCAGAATCCACATATATTTTCTTTAATAAATATATCCCTCTTTCTTCTCATCTCATCTCTTATCCTTTTTCTTCTTCTCCCCTTCTCCCCATCGCCAAGTAGCTAGAATTCTAGTAGTAAGCCACCTCACTCCAACTTAAAAGTGATTTTAATGTCATAGGGAAACACCTCCACTTTCCAGTTCAGCTACTACCACTCCAGGGCCCAACAAAAAATACTTCTGAAATTGCTGTGAAAATCAGAAAGTGTGTTTTACTTTAGACTATACCTTATGTAAGTTAACTATAATGTTTTATCTAATAAGTATCTTCCTCATCAAAAAAAAAAGGTGCTGGTAGCTCACCCCTATAATTCTAGCTACTCAGGAGGCTGAGATCTGAGGATCATGATTCGAAGCCAGCTGGGGCAGAAAAGTCCATGAGACTCTTATCTCCAATAAACTACTCAGAAAAAAGCCAGAAGTGGTGCTTTGGCAAGTATAGAGGGCTAGCCTTGAGTACAAAGAGTCTTGGGGACAGCATCCAGGCCCTGAGTTCAAGCCCCATGGCTGACAAAAAACAAAATCACTTGTTTTTTTAACCGGTTTTCTGAGATTTTTTTTAACCAGTTCATGTGCTAAAATTTAACATGGCATGCTACTGTAAAAGGTCTGAATTATGGCCCTTGTAATCAGCCTTATATTGAGACAAATTATGAAAACTTAAAAGTACCTAGAAATGGCTAGCAAGCAAAAAGAAATAAGAGGCTTAATGGGAATTTTAAAAACCTAGTTACCATGATCAAATACTAAGTGCCATACTCTTTCTTTGTTCTTTATTTTCCTGAAATGGATTATCCACATTTGCTAAACTCATATGTAAATTCTTCTCACAAATGCAAGTGTGCTTAAAAGGAGGATAAAAATGAAGAAGTTCTTTATTTGCTTTGAAAGGAAATGGATACCCTGGCTAGATCCACTGAATCAGTTTATATAATTCCAGGTGGGATTATTCAAAACTATAAAAACCTAAAGGTTTGCTTCCACAGTGAGGCAATTTATGATGATATGATCTGATTTCTTATTCACACTGCTCTTAGGCTTAGCTAAACTGAGAAATCAGAGCTCATTACCCTCGATCTCTGCATGCATCACACTACTTTATTGGTGTTAGATAGCAAATCTTTGCTTATATGAGCAATGTTTTTTGTTTTTTGTTTTTTATTTTTATTGCTATACTGTCAACCAGTGTTCTCAAGGGAAGGGCAGTTTTGCCTCTCGGGGGACATTTAGTAATGTCTAGAGACATTTTTGGTTGTCCCAGCCAGAGGGATGCTATTAAGACCTAGAAAATAGAGGGTTTGTTGCTGTTACACATACTACAGTTCACAAGATAGTCCCTAAAACAAAGAATTAGACTGGACTAAAATGTCCATAGTTTTGAGGTTAAAAACCCACACTGGAGTTAAGTAAAGCTGTTCAACACATGTGGCTATAGAGAGTAACTTACTTACTATTTTTCTTAATGATTTTTTTTTCAGTCCACAGAAGTCACTTATTTTCTAGTAGTTAAAAAAAAAAAAGAAGTGCTGGGTGGCTCACACCTGTAATCCTAGCTACTCAGGAGGCTGAGATCTGAGGATCACGGTTCAAAGCCAACCTGGGCAGAAAAATCTATGACATTCTTATCTCCAATAAACCACCAGAAAACTGGAAGTGGCGCTGTGGCTCAAGTGGTAGGGCATTAGCCTTGAGATGAAGAACTGAGGGACAATACCCAGGCCCAGAGTTCAAGCCCCATGACCAGCAAAAAAAAAAAGAAGAAGAAAAAGAAGCCAGCCACTGGTGGCTCACACCTATAATCTTAGCTACTCAGGAAGCTAAGATCTGAGGATTACAGTTCCAAGGCAGTCTGGAAAGAAAAGTCTGTAAGATTCTTATCTCCACTAAACTAACAGAAAAAAAGCCAGAATTGGAGCTGTGGTTCAAGTAGTAGAGCACTAAGCCTTGAGCAAAATAAGCTTGGGCCCAAGCACTGAGTTCAAGCCTTAGGACTGGCACAAAAAAAAAAAAAAAGACAGATTTCTTTTTTTTTTTTTTTTTCAGCTTCGAGGGCAAAAAAGCCATCTCAGTTTTCTGGGAAAATAACTGTTAAAGCAAAGGAAAAGACTTACTCTAAACTTGAAATACCGTATCAAGCAGAAGTCTTAGATGGGTGAGTTTATTCTTCAAGTAAGCTTTATAACTTTTTTGCTAATCAGTGAATTCCGTTTTCCTACTAAGTAACCTAGTAGGAAAAATCATACCCAAGTTCATCTAAACTCAAAGGATTCTTGATGAAAAGTACAACTGTAGCTGAAAGAAAAAATCCTGTATCTTGTTTATTTTTTACTTTCTTAGAAGAAAAAAGTAAGTGTGGTAGTATGACTTTTGTTGTAATTATTTATTCAAAAGTGAATCTGATACTTTTTTTGAAAATAATAAAGCACTTGAACCATTTCTTTCTATCCTTCTTTTGTAACATGTAAGTCTTTGTGGCTTGCTACTCAAGTATTTTGTGAGTTAAAAATATCAGTATTCCTTTATAATTCATAAGCACATCTAGAGTTATTCTTGTAAGTGGATAGTAACATGTAAATCATTTTCTAATTATACTTCAACCAATGAGTTTTATTGATATGCAAGTTGGTAGGTATATATTTTTACAAGGCTTGTTGCACTGTTATTGATAAACATGATAAGATTTTGGGTCATTGTTGATCCTGATTATTTGTTATATGTAGTTCATTGAAGAATAGTTCTTAATATTGCATTGCAATATTTTGTAAGATATGTCTTGTTCTAAATTGTATAGTCACATTACAATATTCTATAGTTCTAATATGATTATAATCCTTAAGGCTAAGTGTAAATTATTCCAACAAAAGAACAGGTTTTACATTAACATGTGGAAATAAAAATGATTTATTTTGTTTTTGTTTTCTCTAAATAGTTATTTGGGATTTGATCATGCTGCAACATTATTTCACATCCGAGACAGTCCTGCTGATCCTGTGGAGAGGCCAATTTACCTTACTAACACTTTCAGTTTTGCGATCCTCATTCATGATGTGTTGCTACCAGAAGAGGCCAAAACAATGTTTAAAGTATGTCTAGGAATCCTCGTGTTTTTTATTTCACTGTTCTAACAACTAAATGGTACTGACACTTTTTTTTCTCCCCCTCATTACCTAGGTTCACAACTTCAGCAAACCAGTCTTAATTCTTCCTAATGAATCAGGATACATTTTTACCCTGTTTTTTATGCCATCCACATCATCCATGCACATAGATAACAACATTTTACTTATTACCAATGCTTCTAAATTTCACTTACCAGTACGGGTGTACACAGGCTTTTTAGATGTAAGTATTCTATCTGCCTTTTTAAAAAATTTTATTATAAAAATGCTGTACAGAGGGGTTATAGTTACATAAGTATGGTAATGAGTACATTTCTTGTCCAACATTGTTACCCACTCCTTTGATTTTCTCCCACTATTCCTTCCCTCCTCCATTACTCTCCCCCACCTCAAGTTGTAAAGTTCATATCCAACATAGTGTCTTGTGAGTATCATTTTTGCATTGGGTCATCCTTTGTCCTCAATTCACCATTTTGTTGTTCCCCTTTCCTTTCCGAAATCAGATAAATGTATATACAAGACATAGGGTACCAGAATCAAAGACAGTGATTGCCAGGATAAACCAAAGGAAAAAGAAAAATGAAATAAAACAAAAAGAAAGAACTTGATACAGTACATTGATAACAACAAGGACAACAACCAAAAAAAAAAAAAAAAAGACCTGTTGTCTCCATGTCTTGGAGTTCATTTTAGTTACCATCATTTTATATGGTCATATGTACATAGCTATTGAGCTATTGTGATCATCTGCTAAGACTGTCCTAGACATACACTTAATTATTACAAATGAGGGAGACCATGGAGCCTATGTTTCTTTGAGTCTGGCTTACTTCACTTAATATGATCTGTACCAAGTCTTTCCATTTCCCTATGAACGGAGTGATGTCATTCTTTCTGATGGAAGCATAGAATTCCATTGTGTATATGTATACCATTTTTTCTTGACCCATTCATCTATTGAGGGACATCTGGGTTGGTTCCATATCTTAGCTATGGTAAATAATGTTGCAATGCACAGAGTTGGGTTAGTAGCGTTAGAGTGGCCTTGCTTGTGATCATTTGGATAAATGCCCAGGAGTGGGATTGCTGGATCATAGGTGATGTTTAGTCATTTGAGGAACCTCCATACTGCTTTCCAGAGTAGTTGAACCAGCTTACATTGCCACCACAGCCCTGCCAGCATCTTTTATTATTTTCTTGATAATGACCCTTCTAACTGGGGTGAGGTGGAATCTCAATGTGGTTTTGATTTTATTTCTTTAATAGCCAGAAATGTTGAACATTTCTTCATGTGTCTATTGGACATTCTTTCTCTCCAGAGAAGTCTCTTTTTAATTTTTTAGCCCACTTATTAATGGGGTGGGGGAAGGTTTCTTTCAGGATTTGTTATTGGGAGTTTAATTTTTTGAGTTCTAGGTATGCAACAGACAAAGGCTTGTCTGTTGTACAGCTAGTGAAGATCTTCTCCCAATCTGTGGGCTTTCTATTTATCTTGCTAGCTGTGTCCTTTGCCATGCAGAATCTCTGTAACTTAATGCAATCTCATTTATCTAGCCTTTGATTTGTTGTGTTGCTTTAGAAAGTTTTGACCTGTGCCAAGGAGCCCTAGCATATCCCCTATCCTTCTTGTAATATTTTCAGGGTCTCTGCTCTTACCTTGAGGTTTTGATTCTGGTGTAGGGTGATATATATGGATCTAACATTAGTTTTTATATGTATATAGCCAATTCTGTCAGCACCATTTGTTGAGGAGGCTCTTTCTTCCATCTGATAATTTTGGTTCCCTTATCAAAGATTAGGTGGCCATAGGTCTGTGGAATAATGTCTGGGTCTTCAATTCTATTCCATTGGTCCTCAGACCTGTTCCTGTGCCAGTATCGAGCTGTTTTTATAACTACAGCTTTATAATAGAGTTTGAAGTTTGGTGTTGATATTCCTCCAACACTGTTCTTCCTGCTAAGGATTGTTTTTGCTATTCAAGGTCTTCTATTGTTCCATACGAATTTTTGGATTGCTTCTTCTATTTCATTAAAGAATGTTTTTGGGATATTGATAGGTATCACATTGAATTTATAGTACTATCTGCCTTTAAAAACCATCTTTTCTGTTCTCAGATATTGTTAGGTAATTGTATAGCACTCTCTTAAGCTCTCACAAAGTAATCTAAATTCCTTCCTTGTCAGTTTCTCAAGATACAGTATCTACCTCCTTATTGTCAGAGGACATATATAAGTCCCCCCAATGAGTATCCATGTTGTCTGAGAGTGTTTGGCTCCAGAATCCACTGTAGTTGTCACAATTTGTGGATGCATAAGTCTTGTTTATTAAATAGTATAATATTTTTATGTAGTCAGTGAATTCTATGGATGTGAAACCCACAGATAAGGAGAGCCAACTATACATAATTTTTTTCTGTGGTTAGGAATGATTGTTTAATATATAAATTAAGCACAATAAGATATAGATTAACAGGCTTAGAATATTATTTAGTGGTAGAGTGCTTGCCTAGTATGCATGAAGCCTTGGGTTCAGTTCCTCAGTACAACATAAACAGAAAAGCCAGAAGTGGCACTGTGGCTCAAGTGGTTAGAGTGCTAGCCTTGAGCAAAAGAAAAGCTCAGAGACAGTGCCCGGCCCTGAATTCAAGCTCCAGGACTGGCACCCCCAAAAAAAGAAATTAACAAGAATAAATAATAAACTAGGATTTATAACAATATATTGTAATTAAATTATTATTTTTTCACTTAAATACTTTTTTTTGCTGGGCCTGGAGCTTGTACTCAGGGCCTGTCCCTGAGCTTCTCTGTGCTCAAAGCTAGTGCTCTACCACTTGAGCTACAGCACTTTTGACTATTTCTGAGTAGTTTAAGAGTCTCATGGACTTTCCTGCCCAAGCTGGCTTCAAAGCATGAGCCTCAGATTACAGAACTCAGATCTCAGCCTCCTTAATAGCCAGGATTACAGGCATGAGCCACTGGCATTCAGCTTAAGGAAATACTTTATGGTTTCTCTTTTTCATATTTGAATTGCTAGAAACACTGCAAAATAAGAGTTTCTTAAACACAGGTACAGTAACACAACAACAGGCAAATAGCCCGAACAGCTAGTAACTGACAAATGAATAGTATGTATAGCACAGAAACGTTGGAGAAAGGAATAATTCACATCCCAAACCAGGATAACACAAGATTTTGTTGCACTATGCAGAATGGCATGCACTTGGAAACCTGATGAATTGTTTACTTGTGGAATTTTCCTTCTTAGTATATTTCAGCTGTCATTGACTCATCTCTCCTTATAATACAGTTACTTCCTCTAGTTACAAATTCCATTTAAGTGTTTCTCACATTCTGCTTTCTCTTGGTTTTGCTTTTAAATTGTTGCAATGATGGGAAATCTAAAAAAAAAACTAAATGGAATAAAAATAATAGAAAAAAGATGTATAAGGAAGGTTAAAGAGGCAATTTTGTAGGGAAGAAATGACCAAAGTCAGGAAGTACCAAACAACAACCAGATGAAAAATGGAAGTAAGGATTAAGCAAGTATATACATTAGGAAAGAGTCATGCAAATACAATACAGAAGGAAGAATAAATGTCCTCCTAGTATAGAAAAATGAACCAGGGGGAAAAAATCTGGATGTTATGAGAGCAAACAATGAAACAACTTCAGATAAGGCATAAAGCTATTGGGAAAGTTTAAAAGTATGATAGGACATATGTAATGCTCCAGCAAGTCAACATCAATTAGTATCATTGTTAGAGTAAATTAGACTTTGCCAGAAAACTATGCAGACATCCAGGTACAAAAAAAACAAAGAAAAGTTATATTGCCAGCAAAGGGACCGGAAAGATCCCTTCTCACAAGAGATGAGTGAGAAGTGCAGGCTATTGTCTGAGGTGACCTATATAACCTACTGGGGCTAGGAGGGGCTAGGAGGCGGAGACCCGAGAGTGAACACGTGGACCAGGGGCTTCATCATGGCAGACTAGGATTTATGGCTGCTGCACCAGTAGTAAGGGGCTCTGTAGCTGCCCAGACCTGAAGGTCACTCTAAGGGGCTCTTGCTGCCTTATTTGGTGGTAGCTGCCTCAGAGAAGTGCCATCTCAAGGTAGAAGGTGTTGGAGGCTGATTACTTACTGCCTTTACTAAATGAGCCTCGTGTTGCCTAGGAAGGGAGCATGCCAAGCTGTGGAAGGGGGAAGTAGCATACTAAGCTTTGGGAAGGGGGCTCATTGGGCTAACAATCATAGAATTGAAGGGAGTCTAATTATTATCCCAGTCCTTCAGTATTTTGTTTCAGTTATGACTTATTTATAATTCATATGTGAGTGTCCAGTGAGACCACAGGTTTTTTTTTTTTTTTTTTGCTTAATCATCAGGGGTTCCATGTAACCTTTCCCAGTATTTAGCCTCTTTCTTTTGTGTAACTTCAGAAGAGAAGTGGCTGTTTTGTTGAGAGGCAGTTTCCATACCTAGTTGGTCAGAAGATTGTATTAGTACAAAGTTCTTAATTGTATTTTATCTCTGTATGTATACATTAAATGTAGAAATTACGGGCTCCAGTGGCTCATGCCTATAATACTAGCTACTCATAAAGCTGAGATTTGAGGATCTTGGTTTGAAGCCAACACTGGCAGAAAAGTGAGACTTTCATCTCCAGTTAACCACAAAAAGACAGAAGTGAAGCTGTGGCCCAAGTGGTCAAACACTGGCCTTGAGCACAAAAGCTCAAGGACAGTGCCTAGGCCCAGAGTTCAAGCCCCAGGTCTGGCAAAAAAAAGTAGAAACTCTAATCTTACTATAATCACTTCCTTTTGATAACATGCTATAACACAAAGATAGCTGTATATTTAATTCAATTCCTTTATCTCATTCTAGTACTTTGTGTTACCTCCCAAAATAGAAGAACGTTTCATAGATTTTGGAGTACTGAGTGCTACAGAAGCAAGTAACATTTTATTTGCGATTATAAACAGCAATCCAATTGAGGTAAAAAAATTGTTTTTATTCTAAATCACACTTAAGGGTTTTATACTTGTGTTGTGATAATCACTTCCATGTTTTCTCTTTTTATAGTTGGCTATAAAAAGTTGGCATATCATAGGAGATGGTTTATCAATAGAACTTATAGCTACAGAAAGAGGCAATAGAACTACAATAATTTCAAGCCTTCCAGAGTTGGAAAAATCTTCCTTATCCGACCAGTCATCAGTAAGTACGCTTTCTTACTGTTAACTGATAATAAGATGGATGCCTAAGACTAAAAGTTAGTGACAATGAGATGTACAAAACACTATGTTGAAAATGAACTTTACAACTTCAGGAGTGGGGGAGTAGGTAGTTGTGGAGGTGGGAAGGAAGGGATTGTAGGGGAAAACAAAGGAGGCAGCAATGCTCAATAGGAAATGTACTCATTACCTTGCCCATGTAACTGTAACCCATCTGTACAGCATTTGAACAATAAAAAACATACCAAAAAAAAAGTTAGTGAGACCATCATCTTAACAAATAAGCAGGACACAATGGCACACACCTGTGATCCCATCTACTTAGGAGGTACAGGTAAAAGGATCAAAGACCACCCAGGCACAAACATCAGATCTTACCTGATAAATAACTAAGGGTATGGCTCACTGCCTGCAAAGTAAGCCCAAGTCCCTAAGTTCAAGACCCTAGTACTACCAAAGTAAAAAAAAAAAAAAAGAATGGATGTCTAAACTGCAAATAAAAGACCATTACTGTGTTGCATACTTTAATATGTTATATAATTCTTAATAACATTGGTTATGTGATATTGAAAGGACTTTACAGATAATCTACATCAGCCCTCTGAACTCTGATAGGGTTGGTCTACCTTATTGTAACAAGTTGCATGGGAAGCAAAATGTCATTATCTTTATGTAACACGGTATCATTACAGGAGAAATTCCCATAGGTACTAAATAACCCTTGTGTGTACCTAGAAAACAAAAGTTTCCTGAATATTTGGAAGAATGTTTTTCAATCAGTCAATTGTGTGAAAATGGTCTTGAAGGTTTTCTGTATTAACTAGAAGAAAGTATCAAACATGGAAGCAAAAATTGGTCCCTATGTACTTTTACTCTGATAAACATACATAGTTTGATACTAAGAACACTAAAGAAGAAAAGCAGCTCATTCTCTTCCCTCATCACTACAGAAAAAAAGGAACTCAGAGTGGAGACTTGCTGATAAAAGAATTAGTAGGACTACCTGCTGTCAAATATATCTCATCTTTAGGTTAGAATAGAAGTTCTTGGAAGTAATTTTACAAAAAGGAAAGTGCATGTTCTTATGTTTATTTGTCCTTTGTTAAAAACTATGCTTCCATGGAATGCCACAATTTGAGGTTTTTAATATGACAAACCTTAACAAAATAAAGCCAGTTAAACAACATTAGAGTTACCATGAGAATCTGAAGCAGAAATAACTGTGTATGTACTTGTCACTAATGTGACTTAGCTGGTGAGCTCTTCAGCCTTCACTTACTTTGGTCACACAGAAAAGGGAAAGTGAAATCAGGAGCTCTGCTGGCAAGAGGCCCACGCCTCTCCTGACTTGGCAGGTGGCAATCTGACTGCTCCTTCTGAAGCCAGTATTCTGTGTGGAACATGGTGTAATTATCAAGGAATGGATATTACTTTAGATGTTTATACATGATGTAGTGTTTCAGTTTCATACTAGCATATAATAAGATTTAAAAAGTAGTTCTATCATTCCAGCCTTCCTTTTCACTTTTATAGGAAACTTAAACTTTCAGAGATAATGAATGTTACTTCTACTACATACAGGTAATACTAGCATCAGGATATTTTGCAGTATTTAGAGTCAAACTTAATGCAAAAAAACTAGAAGGGATTCATGATGGAGCCATACAGATCACCACAGACTATGAGGTAAGGGCCTTACTGGGGGTCTGAACAATTCAGTCCTTTTTATATTTTTGTTCATTTCAACTGATACACAAGAACTGTAAATATTTCTAGAGCCCCTTATTTTTACAGGAAACAGATCTAAATATACTCATTTCATATCCTGAAAACTGAACTTCTGAGTCATTTTTGGAAGATTGATGTGATTTTTTTCTGATAAAACTGAAACTTCTAAATAAAAATACTACCTTAGAAAAATGCCCTTAGTGCATTCAGAATTACTCTGTTAGAACCTCACCAGATGGTTACAACCTCTTACAGGACTTTAGAGTTACATGTCTACAATTCTTCCTGTCGTCATAATTGTCCTGTTTGACAATTTTTAAAAAGAGGGCAAAGTAGGAAAACCATTCTTTAACTTGAATTCTCAGAGTTGATAATTATAGGAGTCATTTTAAGTCAAAGCGCAAACAAATCATTGAGCTCCTTTTTATAATAGACTCTTTCTTGAGTTTACATCCTTAGGTTTGAATGGTTGTATTTCTCTTTTATGGATTTATTTCTACAAGATACAAACATTTTTAATTTAACATTTAAAAGCATTTTGGGAAGAGAGGTAAATTCAACAAGTTGCTGTCTTTATCCCCCTACATATTTAATATGCACAACCTCCTCATGAAAGAAATCTAACTGCAGAATAAACAGAACTTTTCATTTAATAGGTAATTCATTGGTAATGTGTCAATTAAGTCCAAAAGAGAGGAATTCATACTTTCTATTCATTCAGATGTAGAAGTAAGCCAGACAAGAATGACTGGCACCTGAAATCCTAGCAACCCAGAGGCTGAGATTTGGAGGATCAAAGTTTAAACTAGCCTGTGCAGAAAAGTCTGTGACCTAATCTATAAAAATAACAGGCAAACAAACTGGTCTAAAGACCCAGAAGTAGAGTACCAGTCAAGCAAATAAGCCAAGCAAACTTGAGGTCCTGAATTCAAATCCCTGTACCACCAGAAATAAAAAGAAATTATAAAATTACATTTCAAAATTAAGACAGATTTTTGTTGCATGGATGAAGTAAGAATAAATATCCTCTAGTATCACTTCATTTCTAACTCATTTGTAATGGATTGTTAATTGAGATTTCAACTCCAGAATGTTCAACTTTTAAAAAAATTGAGTTGATATCTATTTCTGTGTACAAAAAAATAGAGAGCTGCTGAAGTTTTACATCATTTCAGGAGTATAATTTTCTTTTTGAAATTAACCTACAAAATAGCTATATTTTTAAAATCTATCTGCATTTTCCCATTATTTAGTCTTATTAAGTATGTTTTCAATGAATGACTGAATGGTACATGGAAATTTATTGTATTTCAATATATTTTATGGAAACATTGAACAGTTTATTAAATAGTAGCCAGGGCAATTTTAATATTGGTTTTGATTTGGTCATTGCCAGCTCAGGTCCCAAAATGAGCTTTATTTTTCAATCCCTAGAGTAATGTAGTAATTGTTAAGCTCATTATCAGACTTAAACACTGACAAATGGTGGTCTGTCTTTTCACTCTACAGATCCTAACTATTCCTGTGAAGGCTGTGATTGCAGTGGGCTCTCTAACCTGTTTCCCTAAGCATATGGTTCTTCCCTCTGCTTTTCCAGTAAGACACTTAATTTACAGACTTTCTTGTTAAGTTTGCCTTTGCCTCTGCATTTCTAGAATTCAACAGGAAATCCAGTTTTTCTTTCTTAATCATTTATTATAAAATAATATAGTGGACTAGCTCTTTTAGAAGACATTAAGAGGAATAAGAAATCCCCTTTCCTGCTGGGTGCCTGTGGCTCATACCTGTAATCCTGACTACTCAAGAAGTTGAGATCTGAGGATTGCAGTTTGAAGCCAGCCCAGGCAGGAAAGCCTGAGAGACTCTTATCTATAATTAAATTACCAAAAGCCAAAAATGTAACTGTGGCTAAAATTATAGAGTACCAGCCTGGCGTGAAAATATAAGGGACAGTGCCAGATCCTGAGTTCAAGCTCTAGTACAAGCACAAAAAAAAAAAACAAACACACACACCCTTCTTCAAAAGTTTTACTGTCTAGAATGGGAAATGGACTCAGAGATGTAAAAACAATCTCTCTTATGTAACCTGTGAGAGACAACATAATAGATTAGAAGAATCAAAACATTGAAAAAGTACATATACAGTAAAACCTAAATTCAAGGTAGCTCTTTAAAAATACACATTTTGAATTACAATATATCTCCATCAAGTTTTAGTTTGTTCTTAAGTAAACTTTCACTTTCCTGCCATTCTACTTTGCTTTGATTATATATTGAATTCTTGACTTCATTTTTTTAAAAAATAATTATCTCTTTATTTTCTGCATAATAACTATGTGATCTTAAGAAAATTTAACCATATGTGACTGAGTTTGTTTGTTTGTTTTCCTTCAGGGGAAAATAGTTCATCAAAGTTTAAATATTATGAATTCCTTCTCACAGAAGGTAAAGATACAGCAAATAAAATCTTTATCAGAAGATGTGCGATTTTACTACAAACGATTACGGGGTAATAGAGAAGACTTGGAACCAGGAAAAAAGTCAAAGGTTTGAAATGTATTTGAGAAATCATACCCATTAACAGCTTGTTATTGTGTCCTTCTGTGGATTAGGGATTCATAGTTCTCCTGTGTCTCTTTATAGATTGCAAATATTTATTTTGATCCTGGGCTACAGTGTGGGGATCATTGCTATATTGGTTTGCCATTTCTATCCAAAAGTGAGTATCTTGCTCTCCCTGATTCCTTCATTGCCCACAAAATACTCTTTTTTCCCTTTTAATTATTTTTTTGATAGTGTCTCACATTTTTACAATCAACCTTGGACTGTGATCCTCTCACCTAAGACTTCCCATGTAACTGGGATTATAGGCATATACAGTACCAACACACCCAAGCTCCCAAAATATTTATTTAATTAAAGGCTGTTATTGTTAAAGTCCTTGTATCTGGGTACTGTAGAAGTTATTTGAAGAAAAATTGCAAAGTAGATAATAGGTATACAACTATATCCACTATAAGTGTGTCATTACTTGTGTTTCCTTGTTTTAGCTGAACCCAAAGTACAGCCCGGGGTGGCTATGCAGGAAGATATGTGGGAGGCTGACTGGGATTCTCATCAAAGCTTATTCAAAGCATGGATGGCAATAAAGGAAAATTCAGGTCATAGGTAAGTGCTTTATTTAGTATAAATCTTCACAGATTTGAAATATCCCAGTTGATCTTGCATTCTAAATGTCACTGTACTTGTGTATTAATTACTTTACAGCTGAGAAAATAGGCCTAATAAAGGAAATGGAAATCAGAATAACACTGAGATTTCACCTCACCCCAGTTAGAATGGCCATTACCAAGAATACAAATAACAGATGCTGGCACAGATATGGGTTAAAAAGGAGCCCTAATACACTGTTGGCGTGACTGTAAACTTATTCAACCTTTCTGTAAAACAGTATGGAGGCATCTCAAAAAATTAAATATAGAACTACCATATGATCCAGTAATGCCACTCTTGGGCAGTTATCCAAAAGAGTACAAGCTAGGATATAGTAAACTACCAGCACAACCATATTTATTGCAACATTTTTCACCATAGCCAAGATAGGGAATCTGCCCACATGTCCCTCAATGGACAAATGAATCAAGAGAATGTGGTATATATACCCAGTGGAATTTTATTCATCCATTAGAAAGAATAATATTGCATCATTTGCAACGAAATGGGAGAACCTGGAAAAAATTATGTTAAGTGAGTCAGGCCTAGAGAGACAAAGGTTGAAAGTTTTCTCTCATATGTGGAAGTCAGAATTAGTTTATAAAAATATAAATAAAGAGCCAGGTGCCAGTGGCTCATGCCTTAATCCTACCTACTCAGGAGGCTGAGATCTGAGGATCACAGTTCAAAGCCAGCCCAGACAAGAAAGTCTGTGAGACTCTTATCTCCAATAAACCACCAGAAACACAGAAGTTGTGCTCTGGCTTAAGTGGTAGAGCACTAGCAAGTAAATACTTTGGGTGGTATGCAAATGTATTAACTGAAATACAATAGATTTAGGGGAGCTCAAGCAATATAATTCCTTAGAAAGGTTAAATCATAGTTCAACAAGATAAACACCAAAAAACCAGGTCTTTAATAGGTTTATAGGAAAGGGAAGGGGGAGTAGAAGAATGAAGAGAAGGGAGAGAATGTACAGTCAAAAATTCAGTGTATATCCTACAAAATTAAGAAAAATGAGGGAAGGGTGGCTTGAAAGGAATGGGTAAGAATGTTGAAAGGAGTGACATTGATCAAGATGCATCATAGTCATAAGCTTTTGTTGAATGGCAAATCCTTTATACAGCTCCTTAAAAATAACACAAATATATATATATATGATTTTTTAAAAAGAAAATAGGTCTAATCTTCAGAGAGTTATTAGCGACATATCTTAAATTATCAATATCATTGTATGTTATTTAGAAAGGTGTATACTACCCATTTTTCTCTTTTCTCCACTCCTTACGGTACTTTTCTATAAAATCAAGCAGGGCTTTTTGTTTGTTGCCAGTCCTGAGTTTTGAATTCTGGGCCTGGATACTGTCCCTGAACTTTTCTGCTCTACCACTTAAGCTACAGCTCCACTTCTGTCTTTTTATGGTTAATTGGCGATAGAGTTTCACTGACTTTCCTACCCAGGCTGGCTTTAAACTGCAATCCTCAGATCTTAGCCTGCGTATCCAGGATTACAGTGTCTTACCAAAGACATTACTTGAAGTTGTCTTTCTGTAGGTTAACTACAGAGTTCATCTTAGATATATCCCTTGCATGAGAAAAGCTTTTACTTGACACTGACCTCTGAAAAGCAAGCTTCATTTACTCCACAGCTGGAGACCCAAGTGTCTTGTCTCTTGTGGAAAGTCCTCCTCCTCCCTTTGAAAGTTCTGGCTGTGGCAAGCCATATAGGGCCCTTCAGATGGCTCTCCATTGTGTTTTTAGCATGTAGAAAATGTACTAATAGCAAAGCAGTACACCTGTATTCAATACTTACTTGGTACTATAGGAAGCTGTTCATATACTTCAGAGAAATATTTGTCTAGAAAAAGTGGCAATATTGCATAAAAATATTACATAAAATGTTCTCAGCTACAAAATTTGAAATATATTTGTCAGAATTTATATATTCTAGCTTAAATCACTAAAAATTCTCAAACCATTGTAGTTGAACCCGAGAGTTTGTTTTACCTATCTACTATGAAACATTTTCTTTTTTTTTTTTTTTTGGGTCCGGTCATGGGGCCTGAACTCTGGGCCTGGGCACTGGCTCAAGGCTAGCGCTCTACCACTTGAGCCACAGCGCCACTTACGGCTTTTTTCTTTTTGCTTATGTGGTGCTGAGGAATCGAACCCAGGGCCTCGAGCATGCAAGGCAAGAACTCTACCACTGAGCCACCTTCCCAGCCCTATGAAACGTTTTCTTAAGGCAAAAGAAAGCTAAGCCCCAAAAGCTAAGCTTTTTAAATGATTAAAATAAATATACAGATACTTCTAGCCTTGAAGAGAGATCACTGATTAAAACACTGCTTTGTGTCCTGTGTTTCCACAGTACACACTAAAAAGTATAGGCAGTCTCCCAAGTTTTAATATATAGCTAAGAATGAGGGGCTGGGAAGAGCACTTGCCTTGCATGCATGAGGCCCTGGGTTCGATTCCTCAGCACCACATAAGCAAAAAGAAAAAGCCAGAAGTGTCGCTGGGGCTCAAGTGGTAGAGCGCTAGCCTTGAGCTGAAGAGCTGAGGGACAGTGCCCAGGCCCAGAGTTCAAGCCCCACGACCGGACCCCCGCCCCCCAAAAAAGAAGGAGTAACTCACAGTGCTGCCCTAGGCTCAGCAACCAGGGAGCCTCTTTACCTACCACCAGACACCTACCCAACATCCCACTGCCAAACCTAGGTTCTGGCTCCCTATGCCACTATCATAGTGAATGTAATGTTTTCCTTGCCTTTGTATTATCTTGTCAATGTGCATGTTACAGGGAAGTTTTTCTGCTAGTCTTACAAAGCCTCTACTCTTGCCATTCATTAAACTGATTTATTACTTTAAGTGGACTTTGGTATTTGATCCTTAGCCTCATTTATAAATATGTTCTGAGTCTTAAACAACTGGCTTATCAACACTTGGAAGTATGGAAATAAATGAAATCCACAATTAATGAAACTTTAATTTGTCTCAGACCTTCTTGTTTTACTTTTTTTAGCTGATATCTTTGTTGCACATGAGGATTTTGTTTAGGTTTTATATCAAAGAAGGAAATCCATATGCCAGGCAGGGCATTGCCTTTTAATAGTTCTACTGAAAATACTCTTAGCACCCTGCTGTGGGTAGCTAGATCTTTACCCTAGTCTGTAAGATCCTTTAGTTCCGTACAGTATCGTGTTACCTGCATATTATCTTGCTTTTTCTTTTTTTCTCTTTTTTATTGTCAAGGTAATGTACAGAGGGGTTTCAGTTACATAAGTAAGGTAATGAGTACATTTCTTGTCAACCTTGTTACCCCTTCCCTCAATTTTCTCCTACTTTCCTTACCCCTACCTCCCCAAGTTGTTTGTCTTGCCTTTTCTAAATATTACATCTAATACAATCCAGACTTTCTTATGGAATTTATACTTTAAATTTTTTTCAAGACTTATAAGATTGCACTAATGCTATTAAAACTATTCAGATTTGTCCTCCTTTACAAAAACAACACAGGTCTGCTTGGGAGGCAGGGATGTGGGATTACATGTAGTCCAACGCCAGCCTAGGCAAAAAGAAGTTCAAGTGATTCTGTCTCAACCAATGTCCAAGCCCAGTAGTGCCTACCCATAATCCCTATTGACACAGAAAAGCACAAGTAAAAGGCATGAAGACTCTAACTTGGAAATAACCAACACAAAAAGATGTTGAGCTAGTTCAGGTGGTAGGTCATCTACATAGCAAGCATGAGCTCTGAGTTCAAAAAAAAGTTAGCAATTCTTTTTGACAAAATAATGGCATCATCTAGTAAAATCATTAGTAAAATAACGAGTCTGAATAAACTGTTGCATTTTTTTTCAGGGCCAGAATAAACTTTTTTAAATATACAAGTTTGGTAAAATTTCTTGTGTTTGCAAAGCTCAAATATTTCATTTTGATACAGTTTCTTACAAATTATTTTTCTAGGTTGAGTGCTATATTTGAAGTAAATACAGACCTTCAAAAAAATATAGTATCAAAAATCACTGCCGAGCTATCCTGGCCTTCCATTCTTGACTCATCCCGGTTCTTGAAGTTCCCACTCACTAATACAAACTGCTCTTCAGTAAGTATTAAAAGTGATGTTTGGTTTTAAAAATATAGGATTATAAAGGAGTTACTTTTAACTCTAAAAATCTTTACCTTTTGTATTGCTGCATTGTTTAAGGAAGAAGAGATTACCTTAGAAAACCCTGCAGATGTTCCTGTCTATGTTCAGTTTATTCCTCTGGCTTTATATTCCAACCCTTCAGTCTTTGTAGATAAGTTAGTCTCAAGGTAAGCATTACTTTAGTTAATCAAAATTATTCTCCATAGTTTTGATTACACATTTAAAGCTTTATTGTAGATAATATAGTAATCGATGTTTTTAATATATTCTGAATCTGTAAAGTTGCTTTAAAGGTACTGAGGAAAACAGCTGTTTCTGCATTAAAGCATTTAGAAAAGCTTCAATTTAAGGCAGTGTGGAACTCCCTCCTAACAAATTTTTTTTAAGTGTCTGAGAATGTTCCAGTATTTTCATTTATAAAAATAAGTAAAAAATGGGGCTGGGAAGGTGGCTCAGTGGTAGAGTGTTTGCCTTGCATGCATGAGGCCCTGGGTTCAATTCTTCAGCACCATATAAGCAGAAAAAGCTGGAAGTGATGCTGTGGCTTAAGTAGAACACTAGTCTTGAGCTGAAGAGTGAAGGTACAGTTGCCAGGCCCAGAGTTCAGGCCCCATAACTGACCAAAAAAAAAAAAGGCAAACAAGATACTAATTATAGACTGTGGTCCTTAATATTTTAAAGATTATCAATGTTACATTGTTGATTCCCAAACCTTCCAAAAGCTAATTTATAAGTAAAGCATAAACTTGACCAATATTCCATAATCCCTTTAATTATAATGTTGTTAATGAAGACATATGTACTTTTTTTTATTTCAGGTTTAACTTGAGTAAGGTGGCAAAGATAGATTTGAGAACACTAGAATTCCAAGTCTACAGAAACACTGTAAGTATTAAAGTTTCATAGTATTTTGTTAATATCACTGCAGAAAATGTGAAGGAAACCTATGGACTGCCCTTAAATTTGGTTGAAGGGCAAGTTACTGAGCTAGATGAAACAATCCAGTAATTGAAAGGCAAATAGAGAAAAGTGGGTGGGATTTAAATCAAGGCAGGGCATACTAAGATGGTTGCTCTTGGTTGGTGTCAAACACTAAATCCTTGGAGGTTTGTCTTAACTACCTGACATCATAGGTGAAGTTTAAACCTCAAAATATTGAATTTAGTTCTTTAATTTCTTTCTTTATGCTTTTAGTAGAATTGTAAGCTCCATCAATATGAGGTCTGTACTGGCTGTTTTCATAGTTGGTGTGGCCTTATACTTGGTTTTTACTCAGTAGATAATCTTGCACTAAATTAACGCATAGGCTGAATTGTTCTAAGAACTAAACTGTTTCCTATCATTCAGGCTGAGCAACTTCTAATCACTGTTGTGAAAGGCCTTGATGAGAAGGATGTGGATAAGTCAGGAAGTTACAGCTAGGAACTAAAGCCCCTGAAGACTAGCAAGGGTTTTTTGGCCTCCCTGCCTTTTCTGCTCAGAGCCCAATTCAAATCTGTTTTTCTCAGATTCCAGAACAGTGATCCTTACCATTGTACCACAGGATCATTGCTGCTGAGGTGTTGCTTATTAGGTCTTGAGATATTGTGGTGTTTTCTGTAGTTTCATGTTGTAATGGATGGAACACTAGGCTGAAGTTGAGAGTTCTGAATTCTAGTCTCAAGCCTTTTCTCTTGTGCGTGCTTTTCCCATCCATAAAATGCCAAGATAACAAACTATTATTGGAGGTTATTAAGAAGGCTCGCTGGGCACCAGTGGCTCATGCCTATAATCTTAGCTACTCAGGAGGCTGAGATCTGAGGATCACAGTTCAAAGCCAGCCTGGACAGGAAAGTCCATGAGACTCTTCAGTTAACCACCAGAAAACCAGAAGTGGCGTTGTGGCTCAAGTAGTAGAGTACTAGCCTTAAGCTGAAGAACACAGGGACAGCGACCAAGCCTAGAGTTCAAGCCTGACAACCAACCAAAAGAAAAGGCTCAACCATAATTTCATTTCCTCTATTTTTATAAGCTAGTGCTTGCTTTTTTCTCATACGAGTAGTGTTTGTAAAGTACAATGCACTGAACTAGGCAGTAGATAGGAAAAAGAATGACTTTTAGTCCCTGCAGACTAACTAGGAATGTATTCTAAATAAGAAATTCTAGGGGAGGTCCTAAGATGAGAATAGTGTAAAGTCTATGCCAGTTTTCAACTGTGTTATAGAACTGTGGTTCTCAAAATATTTGTTTTTCAGGACTCCCTTACAGTCTTGAAACTATTAAGGAGCCAAGAAAGGACTTTTTTTCTAATTCAGTTACATCTATTATTGATATTTTATCATATTGGAAATGAAAACTAAGATGTTTAAAATGCTGATTTCATTCATTTAAATTAATAAATCTTTTATCCTTAACATAGATACATAAAATGAAACCTAGCTATATTTTTTAAAGACTTCCATTTTCAAGAATGAATTGCTTTACAGTTTTGCAAATATCTCTAATGGTTCCCTTACGTAATTAGGCTCTGTCTCATTCAGTCTCTCACGATACATTGTTTAAATTAAAATATGTGGTGAGAATCTAACCTAATACTTACATGTAATTATAAAAACAAAGAGTAACTTAGTTGTACCATTACAGTCAAATCACTATATTATAGTTATAGGAAAAATATTGGTTCACTGTGATACTCACACCAACCTTATTCTTTAATGTAGCCACCAGTCTTACTCTGCTAAGTTTTTGACTTCTCAACATTAGAAAGTAATCAGCTAACAGGGGTTGGGATGACATTATCGAAAATACTAAATTTTTCTTAAAAGCTGATTCATTAACAACTAATACTGCAGTTATTTCCCTCAAAGGTACTGAATGCCTTATTTTCCCCAAAATGCCTGCTAAATACTCCAGTCTGAATGACCATAACTTGGCTGTCAGCCATTCTTTTAGACATTTATAAGAGTTTTATAAGCAAAGTAGCTACTTGTACCTCAAGTAGCCTTTCAACACAACATGGAACTTCATTGTGCTGGAGGAGTGCTTTATGCATGCTTCATATATTGCTTCACTGAGGACTTTTTTTTTTCTCCACTTGTACAAATGCATGGCAGGGAAGCATAGAGTAGCTACTAGTGAAGTTTGACACTACTGCCTTGATTCACACTGAAGAGTCAGCACAGTTACCTCCATTGCTTTTGAGGACTATTAATGTAAATAAATATTAACCCAGTGAAAAGCAAATAGTCTGTCAATGTTCTTCATGAATACCTTGAAAGGATCTCTGAGATAATCAGGGATTGCTAAATTACTCCTTGAGAATTATTGCTATAAACCTATTGAAACTGTCAACAATATCCTGGGAAAATCACAACATCCTGGAGTGCTTCCCAACTCATCAGGGTTTAAATTAGCTAGTATTTGTTGGAAATGTATGTAATTATATTGTATCCATAAATATCAAGAATAGTTTGTATTAGAACTTATTCACTACCTACTTGGGAGTAATATTGTCCTACTGGACTTTGGTTTTGACAGAACATGTTAGATGTGAAAGAAAAAAAATTTTTTTTAACTTTAGAAGCAATAAAGAGCAATGTGCTTCATAAAGCACACTGACTCTTAAATTTGCTCTATATGGATTCAAGCTAATGCAAGTATATACATCTATGTATATCAGACCTAACTCTGCCTAGGGGAGTAAAAGAGGGTACAGAGCTCACTCCCCTTTGGATCGGCAAGCCATGAAGAAGAGCTTATGGGTAGCTAAAGTCAAACGTTACCAACCTTTCCCGAAAATGCTTAATCGTAAAAATCAAAACAGTACATTTTTATGTATGAACTATGTTTTTAATTTAAAAATAAGTATTTTCCAACATTATTTGTAACTGACCATCAAAATGTCATATTTAGATATTAAACTAATCTATACTCAAATTTAAATTATTGAGTATCTAATTTTCAAACTGAAATCCAAGAAGAGACATGAATTGGCAGTATTTTTACAATTAAAACATATACTTCAATCCTTCCATTGTTTCCCCCTGGAAAGGAAGAATGGGACAGCTGTGACCAGGGGCAGCTGCAAGAGGACCTATGGGTATTGAGCTTTGGTTACACTTTGTGTTGATGCATTGCTATTTGTCTTAGCTTTATGACCTTTTTTATATGTTTGTTATATTCTTTAAAAATTTTTAGAAGAATTTACTTCATTTTATTTTATTCATTTGCATACATTAGTTGTGCAAAGGGGGTAGGATTTCATTGTGACATTTTTACACATTTTCCCTTCAGAGCTCTTCATTCACTCATTTTCTTTAAAACAATTTCAATATACTGTTTTATTTTCAAAAAATGAATTGAAGGCTTAAAGTATGTGTGAAAAAAACAAATGCTTAATGCAAGCATGAGGACTTGGGTCACCTAGGAAGGCTCAGTTTTTAATTTAATGCAGAATATGAAGTCTTCTCACTGATTGCCAAGCTCTGATCATGAGCTTACCAGTGTTGAAATCATGAAGAAAAAGTTATTTGCATTATCAGTTTGAAGAACTGTACTGGGCTCTAGGTGGGGTTAAGGAAAGAAAAACGTTTCCCAGAAAATTAATGTTAATGACTCCTATTTGTTTACACAATGATTTCAAGGCTCATCCACTGCAAAGTTCAACAGGATTTACAGAGGGCCTCTCTCGACATTTAATTTTAAACCTAATTTTAAAGCCTGGAGAAAAGAAATCTGTCAAAGTAAAGTTTACTCCAATTCACAACAGAACTGTTTCTTCACTAATCATAGTCAGGTAGGTTCTGGGATATAAGTGTTGGTTGACTATTTCCAAGTCCTTATAGCACTCAGAAGCATGAGTGGTATTGTCCTTTGTGTACCATGTGTGCTTTAACAATGAATAATTCTTGCTCTTTGGAACTTTAAATTTTTACCTTAGAATTCAATATTTAATTTCTTGTGGTACCTTTTAATGTAATGGTAGATATTATAAATCAAAATATTATACAAATTTAATGAAAAAATCTGCAATTCCTATGTTTGCATAGAAATAACTTGACAGTGATGGATGCTGTGATGGTCCAAGGACAAGGAACAACTGAAAATTTGCGGGTGGCAGGCAAGCTTCCGGGTCCAGGAAGTTCTTTGCGCTTCAAAATCACAGAAGCATTGTTAAAAGATTGTATAGACAGTGAGTATGAGTATTCTTAATCATGAGAATGGCACAAATCTCAGCATTTGTCCTCAACAGCAAATAATTCATACAATACGTGTACAAACAATATGTATGTACACACCTGTCTATTAGTGATGAATATTTACAATGTTAAGGAAATCCTGTGTCTTGGTATTCAGTGTTGTTTGATTTAAAGTATCAATACTCACTGTATAACGTGAAAGTAAAGCTAATAACTTTGCCATCTAAAATCACATATCAGAGTGAAGTACTTTCTGATAGAACTTGAAAATGGCTCATCTCTTTGGTATGTGAGTTTTAATCTCTTACATATAGTAGTTCATAAGTAATAATATTTATAATCTTGACCAGAAGTACGTAATGGTAAGATTTATCCTCCTTATTTTTTTCCTTTAGGTTTGAAACTAAGAGAACCAAATTTCACATTGAAAAGAACATTTAAAGTAGAAAATACAGGACAGCTTCAGATTCACATAGAAACCATTGAAATCAGTGGATACCCCTGTGAAGGATATGGCTTTAAAGTAGTTAATTGTCAAGAGTTTTCATTAAGTGCCAATGCCTCTAGAGATATAATTATACTGTAAGTATTTCCTTATAAGATATGGCATAATAAATCACTGACTTCTCAGTTAACCCGTTTTAGTGAATTGTTCAAATATTACACAAGGATATGTTTTAATATTTACAAAAACTCTAAAGTAGTTTATCTACTAATATGTTCCTTTTTGTGTCATTGAATGTTCAGCTAAGGTATTCCTTTGGTTTTGTTTAAAATTATAAAATTCTTCTAAGTGGATGAGATAATCTTAGAAACGAACTTCAATATTATTATCAATGTGCTAAGCTTGAAATGTTAGACTGAGTTTACAGTAACTCAACTACAAAGCAGAGACATGTACCTTACATGTATAGCTTTTTCACGTGCAATCTGAGAATATGTAATACTTAAGTCAGACTTTTTTTAGTGTCTTAATCAGTTTTAGTTGCAGCATATTTAAGCGATTGATTGCTTGTTTTATTGTTAAGTTTATGTAATAAGTATAATCTGAATCCCCTTATGTGAATAATGATTTTATTATTTTTAGTGGATATTTACTTAATAGGTAGCTATATTATACAAAGTTTAATGCTTGATACTAAAAATAGAATGAGGAATATGACACCTTTCGTCGAGGTGCATACAGTTTACAAAAGTAAAATAATTGTGACAGTAAGCAAGGTTTTTAATAACACACCATTGGGAATATAGCCTAGATAAAAGGAAAAAGAAAGGGAAAGAAGTACAGATACTGCTTTCTAGATTAGTGCATGAGAAGCTGATTATTGTTCTTTTTATGTAATTTCTTAAATTTATCCAGGAAGTTCCTGTTATTAACTTCTTGGGACAATACCTTAACTTAAAATGGGAGAGTTGAATAAAAGTTCACTCATTTTATATTGTATTTTAAAGTTGATGGTGGTAGTATTTTATTTGAGCTGTTTGTGGTCTATTCTAAAGCATAGTCTTACTGTTCTCATTCTGTTTTAGATTTACTCCTGATTTCACTGCCTCCAGAGTTATTCGTGAGCTGAAGTTTGTAACAAGCAGTGGTTCTGAGTTTGTATTTATATTGAACGCATCCCTTCCATACCACATGTTAGCAACCTGTGCAGAAGCACTGCCCAGACCCAGCTGGGAACTTGCTCTGTATATCATCATCTCAGGAATAATGAGGTACTTACATTCAGTCAGCACTGGGAGCTGTTTATTAAGTGCCCAGTGTGCCTCAACTTTCCCAAATGCTAAGATACACCAACATATAGACAAAATGCTGACACTATCAGATTACATACTCTCAAAATGGTTAAAAGTGAATCACTTTAGTGGCATATGCAATAAACAATCTTTTTTACTCTTGAAAGTTAAGTAACTGAAGTACACGTTAATTTCCTAAAGAGGAAAATATTCATAATTTATCAGATAAAAGTGCATGATTTGGGTGTATGTTATTATTTTAACATAATTGTGCGCCTAACCAACATGAAACTAATTAGAAATATGTTAAGTCCTATTTTATGTGCAGTAGAGAATCACATACACCTACCTCTAAATTAATTTACAGTTACTGCACATATCCTTTAAGGGACAAAAAAAAGGTTCATTGAGTTGAAATTCAAATTCATCTCAGTCAGGAAAAATTATCCTCCCAATGTTTCTCTGATACAAATTGTCATTTCCTTTATATAAAGCCTCCATGTAAGAGAACATTCTATTAAAACGTTCTATGTAAACCTTTATCCATATACTCTGTTCCTTGTCCATAAAAAAATTTTACAGGCATCTTTGTCTTTTCACTACATTGTTCCTTACCAAAAACTGTCTAATGGCTGATTTTGTTACTTTTGCCTTAACAAATAATATCTTCATCTTCTATACCCTTTCAGTGCACTGTTTCTCTTGGTCATTGGAACGGCGTATTTGGAAGCTCAAGGAATTTGGGAACCATTTCGAAGGCGACTATCCTTTGAGGCCTCAAACCCAACCTTTGATGTGGGAAGGCCTTTTGATCTCAGGAGAATTGTTGGTATATCATCTGAAGGAAAGTATGTTCACATGCTGGCAATCAATTCCCTGTAAATGTATAAGGAATAGCTGATAGAATTACAAAAAAAAAGTAACTTCATCTTTGCTTGGGGAATAGTGTAAAAATAAAAACCTTAATTCTACTTACTCAGTACTATTGTAGTAGCAGTCAGTTACTAGATGATTATGCTGGATAACATGATATGGGTTGTTTTGGTTTGTTTTTTGCTTTTTGCTTTTGCAGTTTTAGTGATTGAACTATGGGCTGTATGCTTGCTATAGGCAAGCACTCTTGAACTGTATTCCCAGCCCTATACCTTGTATTTATTACATTAGTTGGGGTCAAAATAGTCTTATCACTGATTAGATTAAATTTTCAGATAAAGTAAAGCCTAGGAAGTTTTGGTAAATATTCTGGTTTTGTTGGTTTTCCATGGAGTAATTTCTATTTGTGATGGCTGTAGGTACTGTTTACTAAGCTGCAATTTTTCCTTTTTTCAGCTTGAACACACTCAGCTGTGATGCCAGCCATAGTAGAGGATTCTGTGGAGCAGGTGGCTCATCATCCCGATCTGGTACAGGGAGTCACAAGCAATGTGGCCCATCAGTCCACCCACATAGCAGCCACAGCAATAGAAACTCAGCTGACGTGGAAAACATCAAGGCCAAAAACAGTTCAAGTACCTCGAGCAGGACTTCTCAAACAGCCTCCTCACAGTCTGCAAGCAAAACAAACTCCCTTGTTTTAGAAGCAAATACAGCTTCCCAAGGTCATGTATCAGGCAAAAAGTCCAAAGGGGCAAAACAGAACCAACACAGCAGCCAGCATCATAGCCACAGTCCTCTGGAGCAACACTCTCAGCCTCCACCTCCACCACCACCACCAGTGCCTCAGCACCAAGAACCACAGCCTGAAAGGCTGTCTCCAGCCCCTCTTGCACACTCTTCCCACCCAGAACGTGCCAGCAGCACAAGGCATAGCTCAGAGGACTCAGACATCACCAGTCTTATAGAAGCCATGGACAAAGACTTTGACCACCATGACTCCCCATCCCTAGAAGTGTTTACAGAGCAGCCTCCATCACCATTGTCAAAAAGCAAAGGTAATCACCCCTCTGTGTTATCAGAGAAACAATGTGTGAGAGAGAAGCCAGACTATGATCCAGGAGGTATTGGGAGCACAGGTGAGATAAATGATTACTATAGTGAGTGCTCTTTGGTTCAAATTTATCCCAGTATTGAACATCAATTTTTCCATATCACAATTCACATAGAGGTGTCCATTTAGAATTGAGACTGGGCATGGTAGCAATTTGTAATTCCAGCTACAGAGGGGAGGCCAAGATAAGAGGACTGTAGTTTCAGTCCAGCCCAAGCAGGATTAAAAAAAAAAAAAAAGCCCAAGACCTTATCTCAAAAACAAAGTTGAGCTGGGCGCCAGTGGCTTACACCTGTAATCCTAGTTACTCAGGAGGCTGAGGTCTGAGGATCGTGATTCAAAGCCAGCCCAGGAAGGAAAGTGCATGAGACTCTTATCTCTAAGTAACCACCAGAAAACCATAAGTGGCACCATGGCTCAAGTGGTAGATGCTCACCTTGAGCTGAAGAGCTTAGAAAAAGCTCCCAGGTCCAGAGTTCAAGCCGACCCAAAAAAAAAAAAAAAGTTGGTAGTGGCAGCACATACCTGTAATCTCATCTCTGCAGGAAGTGGAGGTTAGAGGATCATCCTCCAAGGCCAACAAAAGCAGACCTATGTGAAAAATTAAACTAAGGCAAAAAGAACTGAGACATGCCCTAAGTGGTTGATTGTCTGCGTAACAAGCATAAGGCCCTGAGTTCCAGTGTCATCCAAAAAAGAAAAATATTATTTCTTAGATTGCTTCTTAAAATTAAAGGTTCGTTGGGTGGTGTCCAGTGACTTTCCTTTTGGCTTCCTATAAGGTAAGCTTTTATTCATTTTTAAAATATTTTTGAGCCAAGTGCTGGTGGCTCATGCCTGTAATCCTGGGTACTCAATAGGGTGAGATCTGAGGGTCATGGTTCAAAGCTAACCTGGGCAGGAAAGTATGTGAAACTCTTACCCTCAGTAATCTACCAAAAAAAACGCCAGAAGTAGAGCTTTGGCTCAAGTGGTAAGAGCGCTGGCTGTGAGCAAAGAAAACTCAGGGATAGCATCCAGGCCCTGAGTTCAAGCCTCAGGACCAGCCAAAAAAATAATAATAATTTAAACACAGGGGGAAAATGGAGATCATCTGCCTTTTAACTCAAAAATAGTATTTTCAGCCAAGCATGGTGGTGCAGAACAGCTATTCCTAGCAATTGAGGGGTAGATGTGGGAGAATGGTAGATTCAAAGCCAACCTAGACTAGATAGCAAGATCAAAGCTCAGAAAAGAATATTTCTACAAAACCTTTATTTTAGAGCACAGGTTGGCAAACTGGCCAACAGGCCAAAAAAAAAAATCACTGCCTGTTTATAGAAGTTTTATTGGAAGACAGCTGTGGGTATTCATTTATATCTTGTCTATGGATGTTTTTATGCTACAGAGGCATTATGGAGAGGTTTCAGCAGAGACTCTACTATCCCACAAAGTTGAAAACTTTTTGTCGGGCCCTTTAAGAGTAAAACCTTGCTGACCCCTACTTTAGCTTTCTGCATACTGTCTGTCCTTAGTTGTCTATTTCAGAGTGACATGTTACCCCAAAATTTCAAAGCTTAGCATACCCTCATTTACTGTCTCATGGTTCTCATATGTCAGGTTAGCTGAATCCTCTGGCTTTCACCAGACCTCTGGCTAGGAATGAAGTTATCTTAAAATTCACTTGATACTTCCACGCTAACACAGGTGGTTGTTGACAGGATACAGTTCTTCAGGAATACAAGGCACAGTTCCCAACAAGACTGAAGTGTGAAATATTTATACAGCTATATCTGTAGGTATAAATATATCCCCAGGCCTTATTCAAGTACCTCCCTTACTCTAATTTACCAAGGAATTTTTGTCTCCACTTTACACAAACAACAGGGAGCTTGCCAGTCCAAAAAGACTGGAACAAGCCCTGATATCCCAGAACTACTTTTTTCTCAGAGAATTCCTTTAGTCCCAGTGATATGAAAACTATCTTGAATCCTCTTATAATTATATGCACTTTTTTATAAATCAGTATTTTAACAATTTTAAATTAATTAAATTTTAAGTTAAGCTTTTTTTGGGGGGGGTGGGTCAATCATGGAACTTGAACTCTGGGCTTGAACACTGTCCCTCAGCTCTTCAGCTCAAAGCTAGCACTCTACCCCTTGAGCCACTGCACACTTCCTAAATTAAACAATTTTAAAATAATGTTTTAAACAGAAATTACCTTCCTCTATAGATATCTTTTTAAATTATTACTATAAACCTTCATATTTTAGGGTAATTTTATAATAATACTTAATAACAAAAAGCTCTTTTGTTAAAGTTACTTATTGTATTTTTCCCTATTCAGGGTGTGAATAAAATAAGCATATATCTCTTTCTTATCACAAAAAGTGGGAAAATTAAGTTAAATATTCTGTGTTAAAATAGGCCTCTGACACCAGGCAAATCCCAGCTTTGAGAGAGGATGATAATAGTCCAAGGCCAGCCCCAGGCAAAGCATGAGACCCTGTCAGAAAATGACTAAAGCAAAGATGTGAGGGACATGTGTCAAGTAGGAAAGCACTTTTCTAAGCCCTGAATTCAAACCCCAGTACTGCCAAAATAAATGAATATAAATAGGCCTCTCATGATAAGTCCACTTATTTTCAGGATCATTCATTTAGAAATTAGATTTTAAAATGAAAAAGTATTGTTGGAATTTCATAGTGGTCTGAGAGACATCCTACTAAAAGATATTTAATAATGGAGCATGGTCAGCAAATTGTTAATGATACATGAGGCCATGAGGAGACAATGCTTACAACCTGCATATGTCCACTGCATAAGGCCACTGTCTTTGTTTCCCTTCCTACTGCTTTGATTTGGAAGAAGGAGCCAGAATCTGTTTTACTTTTCTTAAATATTTTTGTTTTGTTTTTTGCCGTTCATGGGGCCTGAACTCTGGGTCTGGGCGCTGTCCCTCAGCTCTTCAGCTCAAGGCTAGCACTCTACCACTGGAGCCACAGCGCCACTTCCAGCTTTTTCTGTTTATGTGGTGCTGAGGAATCGAACCCAGGGCCTCATGCTTGCAAGGCATGCACTCTACCGCTGAGCTACCTTCCCAGCCCAACTTTTCTTAAATATTTTTATTGAAGTGTAACATGCATGTAGACAGTCTTTAAAATGAACTTTTGGACTAGGGATGTAGCTCAGTGATCAAGTACTTGCCCCATGTGTATTAAGCTTTAAGTTCGATTCTCAGCACAACAACAGAAAAGAAAAAATAAAGGTGGGCAAATGGGACTCCACTAGTAGTTTGTCCCTGTGTTCCCAACTACTAAGAAAGCTAAGATTGAGAAGATAACAAATTAAGGCCAATCTGAGCAAAAGGTTAGATAAAGTCTTGCTAACTTTATCTCACCAGAAAAGCTGGTGGTACACAACTGTAATTCCAGCTGCATTGAAGTTCTTAAGGAGGATTGCCATCTCAGGCAGCCCTGGGCAAAAATACAAGACCCTACTTGGAAAGTAACTAAAGCAAAAGGTGCTTGGGCATGGTAGAGTGCCTACTTAGAAAGCATGAAGGCCTAAGTTCAACCTCCCGCCCCCAGAATCACTAGAAAGGGGATGGGACATTGATATGAAGTTGCAGAATTGTAATATATCATGAAACCTTAGCTTTCAGTTCGAGAGAACTTTTATAATTTTTCACAACCTACCACCATATCCCTGCATATGGTCATCATGTTGATATGAAATGTATTTCCTTTCTTAAAATATCCCATCCCCCTTCAACCCCCAGGATCACAAACCACAACAACAAAAATCCCTCTTACAATGAACTAATATGTCTGACTTTTATAGGCCTTTTATACTGACCATTGTTCAAGTTCTCTATGAGCTTTCCTTCTCTAGTTGGGCAGCTTGCAGGCCTTCTGGCTATTTTCTTGGCCTCCCTGCAGTCACTGTTCCTAGTGGAAGGTGCCCAGGAAAGCCCTCTGCTATTATCCTGAGCAGGGATTATGTATCTGGACGGTTATTAGTCTAGATTTCTGTGGTTTTTCTCACCTGCAACATTTAAACTTGTTTGACTAGAAAAAAGCCAATGCTAAACCGAGGGATAAAATCCAAGCACAGTTCTCAATATCTGTGTTAAGCAAGGAATGATGGTATCTATAGCCATTCTCATCTTGGACTTTGGCAGTTTAGTGGGCAGCCTTAGCAAAGGCAGGACTCTGTAGAGTCATATAGTCAGATGCAAACCCAGACTAAATCTGCTGCTTACGAACTAGGTAACTTTGGAGACAACTATATTTTGGGATAATATTGTTTTTACTTTTAAAGTAGAATAGTTTCTACCTATATTATACATATCACAACTCAGTAGTTACTATTAGTGCAGGAAATGGTACATACGCTTTAGCTTGCTGAGTTGAAAGTGGCCTTAGAACATCCTAACAGATTGTCTATTCAGAACTTGGTCTTGGGAGTAAGAAATGAAACAAGCAGGTGATTAAAGACAGTCTCCTAAGAGCAAAGCCAGAAGCTAGTAGGCAGCCAACCTGACCATATGACAGGTAGAAGATCCATGTGGTTATTAGCCAAAGCAATGGCAGAACAGTGCTCCATGGGGCCTGGAAGTTAGAATATTACATGTGACCATGGCATAGTTTCTATAAAGCATTAGCCTAGAAACCAGGTAACTATGGTTGAGATAAATTCTTTTTGTCTTTTCTTTTTTGATACTTGGGGATTGAACCCAGGATGTTGCACTTGCTAGGCAAGCACTTTGCCAGTGAGCTACATCCCAGCCGTAGAGAGACGGATTCTTATAATGGTCTCTAATTTGTACGTGTATAATATTTACGCTGAACCTGTATTTTCTCTATTCTTCAATTTTTAACATGAAAAAATGCATATATTTGGAGGAAATATTTTAATATAATTATACTGTTATTACTAAGGTGTTGAACAGAAGGGTTAACA